TTGTACCAGCTAATTATGGATTTGGCCCCTTTGGTACCTGGAGAGGCTCCCTGAGGCAAGTAAAAAAATGGAATGACTAAATTTCTTCAGCAGTAGAACTCTTGGGCCTTCACAAGTTCTCCTTCCTCTCTAACATAGCAGAGCTTGGTGCCAGAGCCGCCCTGGAGGACCTGTGGTAAACTCCACTGGCCTGCCTTCATCATTTAAGACTAAAAAGAGCCCGATGTGGTGGCACATGCCTGTCATCCCAGCAGTCTGGGAGGCTGAGACAGGAGGATCTCAGGTTTGAGCTCAGCCTGGGCACTTTAATGATTGAGTGAAAAGAATAAAAATTTTAAAAGGGCTGAGCGCGACAGCTCTGAGTTCAGTTCTAGTACTGGGGAGAAAAAAAAGAGACTGCACAGTTGTGAGGTTTTTCTTTATTTCCTAGGGAAACTTGCCCTCTCCTGTCTGAAGGCGCCGTGGGTCACTGCCGGGACGCAGACAGAGTGAGGGGTTAATTGTAGTCTGGGGTGGGTGAACTGAGCCAGTCGATTCCCAAGAGGTTTTTTCAGTGCACTCTGATTTTCTTTCATGCTGAGAGATTGTTTAGCGATCTCTCTCCTGATAGCTCTAAATACTGTACTGAGCTTGTTGTGTGGGTCTGAATTGTAATAGCATTTGAGGAGCATTTATTCTGTGCTAGGTACTCTCACTCTGCCTGGTTCATTGAATGTTCCAGTGATCCTGTGAGTAACTAGGATCCCAGTGTTTACAGAGAAAGCCTGGGTTCCATGGGGCCTGCCAGGGGCAGAAGAGGTGGATACTCATAAACTGGACAGCAGAGTCCCTATTGTCAGCTGTGGGTCAACTGGCTCCCTAGGTAGTGTTTGACGGAGGGTCAGAAGGACAGAGACTGCAGGAGTGGACAGTTGAGGCTGTGTGCTCAGCACTCCACCTTACGGGGAGCTACCACCCTTGTGCCCCATCCCAGTCTTGAACTTGTCTCTGTCTTGCCATCCCTCGGCACCCACCTCTGACCTTTGGTTCCCTTCCTTCCTTGTTAGCTCTTGCTGTCTGCCTCTCAAAATAATCTTAAATTAAGTAACGTAGGTAGAAATAGTTTGCCACGCTGATACAGCTTCAGGAAAAGGCCCCCAGCACCACCAGATTCAGATTGCTTCCTGCACATAGAGATTTTTTTCCACCTTTAATAAATGCACGGTGTGTTTAGGAAGCCATTGACCCTTCCAGAGCCAGAGTGAGCCCTGGCTCCTGGCCACTGATGGTCCTGTGGGACAGCAGGTGCCTTTCTTGCTCTTCCAGCTGCCCTTTAGCCCCTGATGTGCCTTAGCTGAGGAGGAAGACCATCCTAGGGCCTCTGTACTATACGCCCTTCTGGAATCCTGGACCCTAGAGACCCTTGAGCAGGTAAGCAGACTGGGCCTTGCTTGGATCTGCTGCTCCATCTTCATTTTCTCTCAGGACTACTCCTGTGCCATCCTAAGTACTAGGAAAAAGCAGGAAGGACCCTAAGATTGCATCAGAAGGTTTTGGACCCGATCTTGCCCCAGTGGATGGATGCATGGGAACCACTGGGCCATAGGATTCTAATTTTTTTTTTTTTTTGGTACTGTGGATCGAATTCGGGTCCTTGCGCTTGCAAGGCAGGTGGCATAACCACTGAGCTAAATCCCCCGGCCTCGGCCGTGGGATTCTTGATGAGGGCATAGGAGCAGTGGTGACCTGTACCTCCCACCCTGGATCTGCTGCTAGTTTTAGGGTGGCAGCACCTTCCCCTTTGCAGCCTTAGTTCACTATAGACTAACAGAAGAGATGGAAGTGTGGTCCTTCTGACTCCTTACATTGTGCACCTGGGTTGGGGGCCGGGCAGGTGGAAGATGGTGTTTCCTGATCTGGGCTTGGGACAGGATGGATGGCAGGAGCAAGTTTCAGAGAAACAGAGGCAGAGACTTTCTGATTTGGTTGGGATGCTGCTGGATGTGGGTGTGGGGCCTATGTGAAGATTGATTTTCATCGTGAGCCATTTCATCTGGCAAGCCCAGCTGGACCTGTGTGTTCTATGTGGGTGTGGGTGTGTGTGTGCATGCATGTGTAAGCACACAGTGAATGGCTGGGGGGGACTCAGAAAGCGATGTATTATGGAAGTTAAGTCAGAAAGTCTACTTACCTTTCCAGCCCCCTGCAGTGCTTGTGGAAGATTTTCTGGGTTTCCCTAGGACCCTGAATGACCGTTAAGAGATCTGCGAATTTGACCTGAAAAGCAGATGGGTCTGTCTTCCCAATGGATTTTCTGTCTCTTTAAGAACTTCATTTCTGTTAGTGTAACCCGAGACTCTTAACTGGGAGCATGGTAGGGACGGGCCTGGAGGTGGGCTTCTCAGCAGGGCTAATCTAGGAGTATTCCTGTATACACCCGACTAGTCCATGGCCCTGCTTGGTTGGGATTGGTGGTGAAGTAGGGAGTCTACAGGGCCTGCTGAGGGAAGGCACCGTGACACTGATTGGACATTGAAGTTTTAGTGATCTTAGTGAATGAACTGTTAGGCGGAGTGATCACAGTGTCTGACTTTTCTTAATTTTGAAAGTGTTAAAATAAAAGGCAAGAGAATAAAACAGAGACCTGGAAAAGTTTGTGCCACCTTTTCAAGGAAAGTCTTTAGAACAAAATCTTGCCCCTGAACCTGATCCCTTTTTTATTTATTTATTTATTTATTTATTTATTTATTTATTTATTTATTTTTGGTACTGGGGATCGAACTTGGGACCTTGAGCTTGCAAGACAGGCGACAGAACCACTGAGCTAAATCCCCGGCCCCCTAATCCCTTTTTAAACTTCCTGTTAGTAAACTTGTGTTGCGGGCCCTTTGGCCTGCTCTTCCCCTTGTAACATGTACAGAATGTTGCTGGGTGATGGGAGAAATGATGGCCAGCCGTAGCTCAGGGGTGCACACTAGTGCCTAGCCTGGCCCTCGTCCACATTGAGTGAAAATCTTCTAACTTATCAGATAGCTGGGTGTTGGGCTTGTCTGTGTCCACCTGAGTATTACAGGGGAGTGGGTGCAGATTGGCTCCCGGTCTAAGGGCTCCGTCCTCTTGGGACTGAGGTTTTCTGGGTCTGTGCTGCCAGACTGAAGGTGAGGGCTGGGTGGGGTGGGTGGCATGGGTGGGATGTCTGATAGGGCTAGAAGCCAGGAATGCATTGCACTCACAGCCATCTGCTCAGTGAGGGAACATGGATGGTCAAGGAGTAGGATATTTTCTTTAAGGCCAGCTGGGTGTATTTTCTCTGCACAGGAGTGGGTAGGGGGCAGCTCTGACCCTAGCATGGCTGGCTAACTAGAGGCAAAGCGTGGGGAGAGGTGGATGAGCACAGCCCGGGATGTGTCTTTTTCTGTGGGTATCTGAGGGAAGAAGGGACAGGCACCCTTGGTATTCAAAACTGTTGGGAAAATAAGTGTGGGTGTAGGAAGGACTGGACCTGTTAGAGCCACTGCCTTTACAAAACAAAACAAAACGTTTGTTTTGTTTTTTAAAAGCCTCTCTCTAGCCAGGTACAGTAACACTTGCCTGTCTTCCCAGATACTCAAGAGGCAGAGTCAAGGGAATTATTGCAAGTTTAAGGCCAGCCTTGGCAACTTATTGAGACTTTGTAAAGGAACTTTTTTTTATTTTTAAAAGGACTGAGGTTGTAGCTGAGTGTTAGAATGCTTGCCTAACATGCATACGCCTTTGAGATCAATCTCTAGTACTGCCAAAAGGGAAAAAGTTCATATCTGCCTTTCTAGAAAAACTAAAATTAAGCCGGGTGTGCTGGTGCAACTGTAGTTCCAGCGCTTGGGAGGCTGAGGCAGGAGTATCACCGTGAGTTCAAGGCCAGCCTGAGCTACATAATGAGTTCAAGGCCAGCCTAGACTACATAGTGAGACCCTGTCTCAAAAAACCGAAAGAGAGGAAAGAAACAAAACGAAAAACTAAAATTATTGTAAATACACTGTTATTCCTGTTAATACATATCCTTCCAGAGTTTGTACTGTGAATGTATGCAGGAACACATTAGTTTTGTATTACAGAAAAGGGATTATATTGTAACTGTTCTCGTTGTGTCCATATTTTCATAGCAGTTGAAATAATTGTTTTTAATTACTATTCTAAAAATGGGTGAACTTAAATCTGTTCAGTCAGTTCCTTACTGTTGGATAGATATGTAGATTATTTTCAGTTTTTAGAAGTTGTAAGTAGCACTTTGATGGATATCTTTATGCTTAGCTCTTATTAAGACAGATTTTTTTTGTTGTATTTTAAGACAGGGTTTCGTATGTAGGCTGCCCTTGAACTTGTGGCAATCCTGCCTCAGCCTCCCAAGTGCTGAGATTATAGGTGTCCACCTCTAGGACTAGGTAGGGTAGGTTTTAAAGGTAGTTCTTACTGTCAAATCAAATGGGAGCTACTTTTTATTTGGACGCTGAGAGGCTGGGTTTTCCATTGACCACAAGTCATTGAGGGCACAGCCGACTGTGGTGTGGTCCCTGGGCCTCTTTATTACCCACTTACAGTTCTCTCTTGCCTTCCCAGTTATCACTAGCCCTAGTCTGCTCACAGAGAGACTACAAGAATGTTAGGGCCACAAAGGTCTAAAAGACCTTTCCTTCATGAATCTGTCTGTCTTGATTTGGGAGCCTTGAATGGTAGTGATAATTCTGGCATGGAATTCCCTCTCCAGGAAGGGTATATATGTGTACCTTGTAAGGGCCCTCCCAGCTCAGTCTGACTTGCAGCTTTGGCTGCCGGCTCTGCGAGTTCTCTTTATCCATGATATGTTCAGGAAGGGGCTGATAAAATTGTTATTGGTAACCAAGCATGTCTTTCCTCTCTCCACTCTGGCTGCTGCTTTGAGACCCTGAGGTTTGGTAGAGTGGGGATAGTGGTAAGGCTGAGGAGCTGGCAGTGGCCTGCACACTGGCTCTGTATAAGCCTTTCTCTCTCCCTTGTTCCCACAGAACATTCTGCTCCAGCCAAGGTGGTGAGGGCTGCAGCTCCTAAACAGCGCAAGGGCAGCAAGGTAAGGAGTGAAGTAGACATCCACAGGGATATGCTGGAGGTGGGGCCCACTCTCTTGTGGTAGTAAGTGCTTCTGGGCTGCCAGGTAGTTAAGGACCCTGTCTGCATAGCAGGGGTGCCCTTCTGGCCCAGTGTGGATGGTCCTAGTGGACAGAATGACCTTACCCCTTAACTCTCAGTGGAGCTGGATGCTGAGTGAGGAGGAGCTGAGTGGCAGAGGCAGGGTCACCCTTGGGCCTCACACAATGTGCCTTGCAGGTTGGTGACTTTGGAGATGCAATCAACTGGCCAACACCTGGAGAGATAGCCCACAAGAGTGTACAGGTGAGTCTCTGGGGAGGGATGGACAATTTTGAACTTTATCTGCATAAACACATTGGACTTTACAAGCTTCCAGAGTGTTGGACCTTCCTTTCACAGTGTTTAGAAAGGGGTAGTTTGCCAGGCATGGTGGCACACACTTGTAGTTCCAGCTACTTAGGGGACTGAAGTAAGAGGATCACTTGAATTCCAGGAGTTTGAGGTCAGCCAGGGCAAGATAGACCCCATCTCAAAAGAAAAAGAAAGTAGTAGTTAATACAACATAGGCAACATTGAAATAGCTAGGAGTTGTCATCCTTTGAGCCTGCCTTGCTTCGGGGACTGCCAGATGCTGTCTGTTCATCATCTCTGACCCTCCCAGTGACTCAGAGATAGGCCGTTTTAGAATTCCTACTTGTTGATGAGACTTGAAAAAGTTAATTGCCGCCCCTTTATGGGTATGTGGGTATTACAAGTGAGGTGTGCTGTGGTCATCCAAAGCCTGTATGTTTTCTTCTCACTACACTTGGATTTTCTGAGTGAAACAAGAGAGTAGATTTTGTTGTTTGTTTTGTTTTGTTTTTTGAGACATGGTCTCACTATGTATTCCACCCTGGCCTCATACCCACTATGTGGGTCAGTCCCAACCCATTCAGGCTGGCCGTGGACTCCCAGCAGTCCTTCTGCCCAGCCTCCCAAGTGGTGGCGTTACAGAGAATGGATAGTAAGCCAAGTACCACCCTCCACCTTAAGGCAGCTTAGGTAGTGCTCCCGGGCCCCAGCAGAGGAGCCTTCTGGTCAGTTCTTTCTTCCCAGTGTTTTGTTGTCTTCTTCACTGGCTGTGACCACCTTTGGTGGGTGAAGTCCTTACTTTTTAGAGCTGATGTAAACAGGCCAGGGCCAGCTTCTACCCTACAGACAACCAGGACCTCCTGCTGCTGGGAGTAAACCTGGCTCCTACGGGCCTGAGCACCCCTGTCCTGGGCTTTGTCTCTGTCACTTAGACTCAGGTAAGCTAGAGAGAAACACATTGTCTCTCCCGCTTCCTGGCCTATTTGACCATGTGTCACAGCAAAAGCACTTCAGGTATAGAAACAGCCTTTGGATGCATCCAGTCCAATCTGCCATCACATGCTGTAGCTCCTCTGTCTTCTTAGTGACAAGGAGTCCCCTCCCTTCTGTCTCAAGAGGTGTCGTACATACTCCCCTCTTCTCACTTTGCTTCTTGATACAGCCGCAGTCTCATAAGCCTCAACCTGCCCGTAAGCTGCCACCCAAGAAGGACATGAAGGAGCAGGAGAAAGGAGAGGGGAGCGATAGTAAGGAGAGCCCCAAAACCAAATCAGATGAATCAGGAGAGGAGAAGAATGGGGATGAAGACTGTCAGCGTGGTGGGCAGAAAAAGAAAGGTGAGTGATTTGGAGCAGGACCTGGGAGAAGGCAGCAGGGCAGAAGTCTGAAATGTCAGAACTCTGGTGGGTTGTGGTGGAGTTTCAGGTCATGGGGAAGCTCATTGCTCTAGGCATTTGGGGCAGCCATCGGGAGTCCATCAGTTCCTCCTCTTCCATTGCTCTAAGAGTGTCCCTAACCCTTAGGAATGGTGAGGGTGTAGGTTCAGCTGCTCTAATACAGATCCCATGCAAGGTAAGTTTATTTCTCACACATAGCAGCTTGCTGTAAGCAGGCCAGGCCTAGTATGGCAGGTATGGCAATCTTGCTACACCGCATTGGTTCTTCATCATCCAGGATGGCTGCCTCCTCACTCCAGCTAGCAGGAAGGGAGAAAGGAGAGATAGCTCTTTGCGTTTTAGGTGTTCCACTTGGAAATCACTACTTAACCTCATATCTCTAACGGAGAGCATTTTGTCTAATGAGAGTCTGGAAAATACAGTGTTTATTTGGGGAGTCAGGCTTTAGAAGGTAATTCTCTGACCCTGGAAAAATCAGTATTGGGAGTTAACGTCCATCACAGAGGGCCACTGATCACCTTGTTTTAGAGATGGAAAAGGAGGTTCAGTGTGTAGGAAAAGAATTTGCCGAATGCCACCAGGTTGTGATTTGGGCCAAAGCCCAGAGCAGAAGAGTTGGATATGGAGGACCTCTCAAGCCTGTCTCCCATGCTCATGCTGTCCCCCAGGGAACAAACACAAGTGGGTTCCGCTGCAAATAGACATGAAGCCCGAAGTACCCAGAGAGAAACTGGCCTCACGCCCCACTCGCCCGCAGGAGCTGAGGCATACACCTGCGAACCGTGGGGAGATCAAAGGTACGCACTACCCAGCGTGGAGGGCCTGCCCTTGAGGGACACCCTGGGGCCTGACACCATGCCCTCTATCCGTAGGGTCTGAGCCTGCCGCCTACATGCCTGTGTCTGTGGCCCCCCCCACCCCAGCCTGGCAACCAGAGACCAAACCGGAGCCTGCCTGGCAGGACCAGGGTGAGACATCCAGTGTGAAGAGTGATGGGGCTGGTGGGGCGCGGGCTTCCTTCCGTGGCCGTGGACGGGGGCGTGGTCGCGGCCGGGGACGCGGCCGGGGTGGCACTCGAAGTACGTGAGGCCCTTTTGGGCTCCGGGATGCCATGGGAGTGCGGCAGGGTGGTAGGCCAGGATCTTCTCTTCCTTATGGCACTCGTTTCTCCCGTAGCCCATTTTGACTACCAGTTTGGCTACCGAAAGTTTGATGGTACGGAGGGGCCTCGTACCCCCAAGTACATGAACAATATCACCTACTACTTTGACAATGTCAGCAGCACTGAACTTTACAGTGTGGACCAGGAGCTCCTCAAAGACTACATCAAGCGTCAGATGTGAGTACGCAGAGGCCTCTTTCCTGCAGGCTGAGAGGGATGGGCTGCCACGGAGTTGCAAATAGCAGAGCAGGGCTAGGTGAGCCCTTCTGGCCTTAGCTCCATACGTGACCCCTGGCTGGAGCTGTGAAAGATAACTTGCCTCCTGTCTCTTAAACCGACTATTCCTAGTTACGGTTTATTATAGAAATAAAACCATATTAGCCTTAAGGAAATTAGAAGCTTCCAGTAACACAAAGGAGGGAAAATTCCTAGAATCTGTCCTCTCTGCGTCCATTTGTAGCATTGAACAAATACTAGCAAACATTTCTTGAGTTCTCACCATTGGCTTGCCACAGTGTTAAGTGCTATACAGACATTGTCTTATTTAATCCTATAATTTTCAGCTGCGGAAGTCCTATGAGCTGGGTCTTTTTATCCCCATTTTATAGCTGAGCCAATAGGCCCAGTTAACTTGCGCAGAGTCTCATAGCTAATAAGTAACACCAGTGTGAATTCATTTCTTTCTGATGGCAGGAATCTTTGCTCTTAACCACTATAATAATACATAGTTTCACAATTTATTGGACGAGTCACACAAGGAAACAGATCATTGTAGTAGAGTTCCAAGTGTTTTAGGAGCAAAAAAGAAAGTGACTGACAACATTGGAACTGGATTTTAAAGGAGGATGAAGAGTTTGCCAGGCATGCCAAAGGGTTGAAGGGCAGAGGCAGTAGAGGTCATGAAGGGATAGCATCATTTCTTTCCAGCCCTCTACTGTTTGTGTGAGAGGGTGGGATGGGACAGGTGGTTTGAGACTGTCAGGGTGGACAGCAGAACAGGGAAGGCTCTCTGGTAAATGATGCAGCAGTTTCTCAGTGATCTCTCCTCTCCCCTCTACTCAGTGAATACTACTTCAGCGTGGACAATTTAGAGCGAGACTTCTTCCTGAGACGGAAAATGGATGCCGATGGTTTCCTTCCCATCACCCTTATTGCTTCCTTCCACCGAGTGCAGGCCCTCACCACTGACATTTCACTCATCTTTGTGGTATGTCTCACTCCCTGGGGCTGAGGTGCCAGGGAAACAAAGATCATTCCTCATGGAGCTGGAGTTTTGGGCAAAGGCAGAAAGCCTTGGAAAGAATCCCCATCTAATTACTTCTTTAGTTTTTGAAACCACTGAGCTAAATCCCTGGCCCTATCTAATTACTTCTAAAGTCCTAAAATTTAGCTAACTTCCTCTCCTCCTTCCTTTCTTACTTCTTATTAGAGATAAAGTCAGACATTTGTAAAAGTAGACAGAATAGTACAGTGAACTTTCCGCAAGCTTCAGATATCACCCTCCAGCCAGTTTTGTTCCATTTCTCTCATGATCTGTGTCCCCTGTCATACCAGTAGAAGAGTAAAGATAATCCTAGGGAACTTGGCATTTCATCCATAGATGTTTCAGTGCAAAAACTTGGTTCAAAAAACAACCATTAGCCCGCCTCTGCCTTGCAAGCACGTGGTCCTGAGCTCGATCCGCAGTGCCAAAAAAAAAAAAAAATAACCACACCATGATTATCACACCTAGAAATATTTATTACGAGAGTAAACTGGGTTTGTGTATTCAGTGGACAGAGTAACATACTCACCTGTACTCCCAGTTTTTGGTAAATTAGTGGTCTAAACATAGGACCAGATTCAGGTTTTTTGTTTTTTCCCCTGCCTGTCAGGAGTACATCATAGATAATGATATGTTCTCTCAGGTGGCATGGGATATTTCATCTGTTGTTACTCTTGTGATAAAGCTGCTCTTAATTATCATTACCTATTTTTTTGGTGGTTTTTTTTTTTTTTTAGTACCGGGATCGAACTTGGGACCTTGCACTTGTGAGGCAGCTGCCAGAACCACTGAGCTAAATTTATCAACCTGTAATTTTATTGTAGAGATATTCTGTCAGTCTTCATTTATTAGCTCTAATACCTCTTTAAGGAAAAGCTTTGTTTCATCAGTTATTCACTAAGTGGTTGTATAGGAAGGGCAGATAAATGTTCTGGGGTTTTTGTTTTGTTTTGTTTTGTTAATAGTTTGCAGAATTAGGAGCTGATCTCTAGTAACTTTCAAAAGTGACCAGTGAGATTTAGGAATTTTTGTTTTACCATTGTGTATTATTATTATAAACATTGATTCAAACATACGTTATTTCAACCTATTGAAGTTAATATAGTGATATAAATTGTCCCATATTTGGTCAGTGGGACCCTAATCTGTTGCAGATCAGGGAATTGGTTACTTTTTAAAGGGAGCCTGGTTCCTTTTGGGGGGATACCATAGTCTGAATTAATAGGGGGGTGCTAAATGCTCCTTGATCACTTTCTTAAGGGGGTTTTGTGGTAAGATAAAATACAGTAGAGATTACACTGATATTTTCTATTAAAATCCAGGAATACTGGTTCTTTACCTAATACCAAGGATGTTTGTACCTACTTCTTTCTCTCGGGGAAGAATTTCCTAATGGCATCAGTGTGATTACTTGTTTTATTCCATAGTGTATGCACGTTATTCTTACAACATCTACACTATCACTGGTTGTATTTTCAAGTCATTTGAAATAATCTTTACTTATGTCTTCAACTTGGTATTTATTACTTTCACCTTGTGCTCGAGTTTTAAGGATTGTGTCTCTCTTGTTCCTGTAATTTTCTCACTTCTTTTTCATTTATGTAGAATAATTAACATGGTTCCAAAGTCTGAACTTAGTGTATTCATATACATCTAACATAAATTACATGACTTTCACCTTTTCTAAACCCTTCCATTAAAAAAAAAGCAAATGCCTCTGCATGTATTTGTGTTCTTCCTCTTTCTCAGGCAAACGGTAACATATGCACTATGCATGTATGTCTTTTTTTCTTTTTACTTTATATACCTGGGAACTACCTGCAAGATACCATGGTTTTGTTCACCAGCCATAGATTCACTTTGATCATATCCAGTCTTGTACTAATACATGAACTGTATTAGTGCTAATGAATAGCCTTGTAAATTTAGCTTTTTATATTTTTTGCCAGAAATCTTCATTTTAGAGTTTTAGAAGTAGGATAGCTGAGTTAACCCTGAATGTATCTGTAATTTTGCTAGATACCACCTAATTGCCTTATCAGGGATTTTACCCTTTTATGCTCAGCAATATACAGAAGTGCCTCTTCCTCAGCCTCATTAACAGAGTATGTTATCACATATTCACATTTCCTCTTTCATTTATTTAAAACATCTCAGAATTTTCTAAATAGAAAACTCTCCTGTCCCTGCTCTAATTCTCACTTTTTCCCAGAGATAAAAACGCACAGTAGTTGTTTTAGTTACTTCGTTGTTGCTGGGACAAAATACCCAACACTTAGAAGTTTAAAGGAAGAAAGATTTATTTTGGTTCACAGTTTGGAGAGGATTCAGTCCATACAGGTGGCTCCCAAAGCAGCATGGTGTGGCAGAGGAGAAGCAGACCATGGCAGAACAGGCAGAAGGCAGCGAGGTAGCAGCAGTGAGCCTCCCTGCCTTTTCTACACCATTCATGCTTCAATGCCACCCACATCTTAGGATGGGCCTTCTCATTATCCATACCCAGAACTATGCTAAACTAATCAGTGGAAAAGACGTGCATCCCTTTGTCCAAAATGCACTTCGTCTCTAAAAGTTAGCAAAGTCTTAGCAGTTTCAGGATTACTGAAAAGTCCAAGTCCAAATTCTCCTGTGAGATTCAGGATACATTGTAAAGTCCCCCTGTAAAGATGAAAGGAAAGTTAAATATTTTCAACATACAATGACACAAGATAAACATTCCTGTTCCAAAAGGTAGGAATAGGAGGATAGACAGAAATGAGACCAAATTCAGCAGGGCAGATATTAAGTCTCATAGTTCCATGACCAGCATCTGGGGCAATCTGCAGTAAGATGTGAACTGCAGAGGGCTTGGGTGGCTCTGCCCTACGGGACTGTCAGTGGTTGTAGCCCTCATAGCCTCTCTCTTGGTCTGGCTGTGCTCACTCTTTGTGGCTTTCCTCAGATGATCTATGTTCCTGGCTTCTCCAACCTTCTGTGGTCTCCACTGTACATCAGCTTCACACTCAGAGCTTTATACACTGCCCTCCAGGGGGCACTGCCTGGCCACCCAGGCCTTCTGAAATCTGAGTGGAAGCCTTCCTGACCCCACAACTCTTGCATTCTGTGTGTACCTAAAGCCAGCACCATGTGGATGATGCCAAGGTCTGCAACCTGCTGGAGCAGTAGCCAGGCTGCTTTCTCTCTTGGCTGTAGGGTTTGAGTGCCTTGATGGGTGAGCACAATAAACCCAATCCAGAGGAGCAAATTCTGTAGGCCATTCTGGAACATGGTGCTCTGGGGTGCTCTTCTCAAAGCAAAGTCTCTCCCCTTTGCAATTTTGAGGCTGCAAAGAAGTGGAGTCCTACTGGTTCTTGTGACGTCCTAGGCCATCTTTTCTATTGTCCTAGGGGTTTTTTTGTTTTTGTTTTTTGTTTTTTTTAGCCACCAAGTTCTCTGGTACATCTTTGCAGGCCGCAACTTCATTGGAGCTTCCTTTCTGATCAAACTCAAAAAAATTTTAAATCATTCTACTGGGCCCTTTGCTCTTGATTCTCAGCATAGATCTGGCTAAAAGCCCACAACAGGTAGCAATATCCCTGCCTCAACATCAGATTGCCTTGAAATTTCTTCCACCATATTAATCTGCCACAGTTAATCTCAGACTCTGAACTTTGCCAAACTCTTTGCACAAGCCAGTTCCAAAGTTCTGAAGAACCACACGGTGTCACAGCAACAGCCTCACTTCTGGTACCAAAATCTTAGTTATTTTCTTGTTGCTGGGACAAAGTACCCAGCACCCACAGGTTAAAGAAGGAAAGGTTTATTTTACAGTTTTCAGTCCATAATCAGCTAGTTCTAAGGCAGGGGAGCATGGCAGAGGAGAAGCAGTCCATGGCAGAGAAGCAGAAGGCAGCTAAATAGCAGTAGCATCAGCAGGCCTCCCTTTCCCTTTTATTCCATTCAGGCTATAATCCTATTGGTTGGTGAGACCTCCACCCAGGGTGGATCTTCCCATCATCCATAACTAGAACTATGTTAAACCAAGTGGACTAATTTAGTTATCACACATCCTTAATCCATATTCACACTCTAGTTCCAGCCATCTCTGAAAAGCTTTGGGGAGACGTCACAATACAAGTCATAAATGAGTAGTTTATTTGAGTATATCTCTGCTCTTACTTAAAAATTCAAATACAAAAAAAGATCTTCTATATACTGACCTATGTCTTTGGGGTGGAGGGTAGTAGGTATTAAATCCAGAACTTCACACATACTAGACAAGTGCTGTACCACTGAGCTATATCCCCAGCCCACTTTTCATTTTTATTTTGAGCCATGGTCTCACTAAATTGCCTAGGCTGACCTTAAACTTGGAATCTTCCTGCCTCAGCCTCTGAGTAGCTTAGATCGTAGGTGTGCACCACCATGCCTGACTTACACTTGTTTTTTTGACAATATATTTGTGTCTTATCACTTCAGCACTAATACTATAAAGCTGTTTTTATAAATGTCCAAGTAGTGTTCCATTAAATGGCTGTACCATAATTTATTCAAATTACTAATGTGGCAAGTTAGAAAGTTTCCTTTAAAAAAAAATTCCTATCAAAATACTGCTATGGGGCCGGGGATTTAGCTCAGTGGTTCTGCCACCTGCTTCGCAAGCGCAAGGTTCTGAGTTCGATCCCTGGTCCAAAAAAAAAACAAATACTGCTATGAAGAAGAGGCTGGGGATTTAGCTCAGCGGTTCTGCCACCTGCCACGCAAGTGCAAGGTTCTGAGTTAGATCCCCTGTACCAAAAAAAAAAATACTGCTATGAAGAAAAGAAATATTGCTATGAATTTTTTGTCCAAATCTTACAAATACCATCACCTGTTTGTTTAAGCGCTCTCTGGATTGCTAGAAGTAGAATTGCAGGGTCAGTAGGGTGATGAGGTTTCATGCTGGTTCCCTCCTGCGAGTCTGGACGTTGGCTGTGTCTGGCAGTCATGGAAGAAGGCACCAGTTTGTAATAGTACTGCTGGTGCTGAACTTAACACCCAAGTTCCTGGGGACCCAGCTGTCTAGCATTTCCAGGATCTCAGGTTGTTGTAGTCTTTCCCCCTCATCCCTTTTCTTTCCTTATAGGCCCTAAAGGATAGCAAGGTGGTGGAGATCGTTGATGAGAAAGTCCGAAGGAGGGAAGAGCCTGAGAAGTGGCCTCTTCCTGGCCCCCCCATAGTGGATTATTCACAGACTGATTTTTCCCAGCTTCTCAACTGCCCTGAGTTTGTTCCCCGCCAGCACTACCAGAAGGAGACGGGTAGGTCCACTCCCAGCATGTAGATAACCCTTTTGCCCTTGCCCTCTGGCTTGTAGTCCTCGTCAGGGGTGGCCTCAGGACTAGAGCCATGAGGACATTGCCTTTCCACCCTTCAGAATCGGCACCTGGCTCTCCTCGTGCAGTTACCCCAGTGCCAACCAAGACAGAGGAGGTCAGCAACCTAAAGACTCTGCCTAAGGGGCTGTCTGCCAGCCTGCCTGACCTGGATTCCGAGAACTGGATTGAAGTCAAGAAGAGGCCTCGGCCCTCCCCAGCACGGCCCAAGGTGGGTGAGGCCGTGTTCCCTGCCTTGGGTTCCTGGGCCCTGGGCTAGAGTCCTAGGAGAGTTGAAATGGGTGTAGTGCTCTGGTTTGCAGGGTCGAGCAGGAAGCCTGGTAGTCCAGGCTCATGATGTAGTTGAGGTCATCAGTAGTGACTGCTGCAGGGTTGACACGACCTGTTTCCATTTTCCAGGGGTCTCCCCTCAGGACACCCTACTGTGTGTTTCTCAGGGGCTGTTTTTTGGGTGTTGTTGGTGGTGTTGTTACTGTTTTTGATGAGGTCTAGTTAAGTTACCCAAGCTGACCTCAATCTTTTGGTTCTCCTGCCTCAGCCTCCCAAGTAGCTGGAATTAATACATACATGCTATCACACCTGGCTAAGTGGCTTTTTTACAGCAAGAGGTCATACAGCGTATGACAGCAATGGCTCATGTTTCTTGACTCTTGGCTGTTCTTTTACCTCATCTAATTCCAAGGGGCTGCATTTTCTGTCCCTTTCCCTTGAATTTGTCTTCATAGTCCCATATATAAGTCCCATATGTATAAGCCCATATATAAGTCTTCATAGTCCTATATATAAGAGAGATGGTAGAGAGAGTAGATGCATGGCCCAGGTCGGGTAACTCCATCCACCAATTCTGGACTAAACCACAGGAAAGTTTGTTGAATATCTCAAGGCTTCAGTTTTTTGTTCTTAAGAGGAAAAGAGTTAAAATGTTCTAGAACTAGTAAAGCAATATGTATAGATAGTATAATACAGATGGAATCCACTATTAGAGAATATTTCAATCTCAAACTAAAATTACCACTTCCTTCTGCTCCATCCCCTTTGATGACCTCTTTGGGGCTTATGTTCCCTTGTTTCTTTCGCCACCATGACTGGCTCCTGATCACTTTCTTCTCCATCTGTTCATTCCCAGAATTCCCCACTGTTTTGGCCTCAGCCCTTTAAAAAGTGTTGCAGATGAGGCCAGAGTCATGAGACAGGTGTAATGAGTAGACAAGGACTGTATAAGGCCCAGGCCTACTGGCGGCAAGGATTTTGGAAAGATAGAGCCACATCAGCCCGCCATTTGAGAATTGGGGCCTCTCTTCCAGCCTGGCCTGTCTTGAATCTTAAATGAGATGGGTTTGGAGTTTTGGGGGAAGCTCCTTGCCCAGCAGGGAATTGCCTTTTGGTTGTGTATTGGGATCATTGCTTCAGAGTGTCACATAAATTCAGTCTATCAGCACTCTGAAGTATTTTTTTCTTGCTGAAGGCACCCTGTTTTCTATTGCCTTTGGTCCATGTTCTTCTTGCTTAGAACACTGTCCCTGCCTTTATCTGTCTTATTTATGTTCATCCTTTAGTAGCCACTTCTTCAAGGAGGCCTTCACTGACCATCCCCACTCCTAGTTGATTAAGCACCCTTCCTGCGTACTACCAGAAATCTTGTTTATTGCCTTTACAAAATTACATTGCTGTTGGGCCGGGGATTTAGCTCAGTGGTTTCGCTGCCTGCTGCGCAAGCACAAGGACCTGAATTCAATCCCCGGTACCCCCCAAAAAAATTACATTGCTATTGGCTGGTTTGTTGACTTTTTCTCCCGCTGAACTGTAAGCTTCCTAAATATAGAGACCTTGTCTTATTATTCTGCTTTTAGGTTTTTCGTACAGAGAGCCTGGTACTGTTGGATACTTGGGCATTTGTCAGGTCATTGCACATCTGCTGTTGCTAGGTCTCAGTCAAGGTTCTGAGTGTATATTGGAGAGCAAGCCACCTTGGTTCCTAGAGCTTCAGTGTATGGGAGATGTATAGTCAGATGAATGGATGAATAACCTGTTAAAATTCTGCCATGTGCCCACCCCCAGGCTAGCTACTGTGTAGGATATAAAGGTAAACAGTGGTTTGTGAATGACTTAGGTGAGTTGTGAGTGGAGGAACCTGGGTACGTGTGGGATATCCCTTTCTCCTTGACGCCGACTCTAGGGAGGACACCTGTGATCTGCTGGTGTTACCAGGGCCACAGCTGTGACAGTCTTATGCTGAGGAACCAGAGCCTCTGTCCCATGGGACATCTGCTGAGCCCGGCCCAGGACGCCCTGGTGATTCCTTCTCCTTGGTCTGTCCCTGTTTCAGAAGTCAGAGGAGTCCAGGTTTGCCCACCCGACCTCTCTGCCTCAGCACCTTCCTTCCCAGCATCTGATGTCTAAGGATCAGGAGGAGCAAGAGGAACTAGACTTCCTGTTTGATGAGGAAATGGAACAGATGGATGGGCGGAAGAACACCTTCACCGCCTGGTCTGATGAGGACTCTGACTATGAGATCGATGATCGGGATGTCAACAAGATCCTCATTGTCACCCAGACGCCACCTTACATGCGCCGGCACCCTGGAGGGGATCGCACGGGCAACCATACCTCCCGTGCCAAGATGAGTGCCGAGCTGGCCAAGGTCATTAACGATGGGCTCTTCTACTATGAGCAGGACCTGTGGACTGAGAAATTTGAACCTGAATATTCCCAGATCAAGGTGAGGCTCAGATGCAGCAGTGTGGGACCTAGGGTACCTGTAAGGTATGGAGAAGGTGGTGTGTCCTGGCACGTTCCTCCAGTCCAGAGCCTGGTGTCCTCCTGTATAGAGGAGGCGATGCTGGCACCTTGCCCAGGCCATTAAGAGCAAGAGATGTGTGAACACTGAACTGCCGTGGGCGGAGGGGTCTAACGTCTGCCTCCGAGTCCATATTTAGTGTCATAGAACACTTGGCAAGACACTTTTTTGTGGAAAACAGAATAAAGCTTAGACTGTGTTTTCTATCCTTGAGTAAATGAGGCGAGGCATGTATAAAGAGGTTTTTCTCAAGGTGTCTTAAAGAACTTTAAGTATAGAAAATGGAGGAAAGATAGGTGCAGTCCAAACATCTTCGTTGGTGTTCACAGAGTGAGTATGTTAGGTGGTGGGTGAGGCTTGGGGAGCGTGTGTAACAAGCAGAGGTGTGCTCGGTGGGGTTGCCTGGCCACTGGGCAACAAGGCCACAGCAGGAAGGGCTGTGGGGAGGTGCTGGGCAGCTCCAGTCAGCCTGACGTCAATGACTGCAGGGAGGGTGAGGCCGGTGCTGGCCTCTCTGGATTAGCATCTGCATGCCAAGGTAACTGGGGTTGAGGAGTGACTGTGGGTAGCTCAGAGCCTGGGGACCAGGATTCTGTGTATGTGCATGTGGCCGCTTCCTGCCAGGCTTGATTCCTGAGCAGGCCGGAGCAGCTTGCTGACTAATGTCTTTCACCGCCCATCTCACATCCTTTGCAGCAAGAAGTTGAGAACTTCAAGAAAGTCAACATGATCAGCCGGGAGCAGTTTGACACACTGACCCCAGAACCCCCTGTGGATCCCAACCAGGAAGTTCCTCCTGGGCCACCGAGGTTCCAGCAAGGTGAGGGGCAGACCCTGGAGACTTGGTGTGGGCAGGAGGGGCTGGAGGCCTGCTTCTCCTCGCTGACCCTCTCTGCCTGTGTAGTTCCCACTGATGCCCTGGCCCACAAGCTGTTTGGTGCTCCTGAGCCCTCCACCATCGCCCGTTCTCTCCCGACCACTGTCCCAGAATCGCCAAACTACCGCAATGCCAGAACCCCCCGCACACCCCGGACCCCACAGCTCAAAGACTCCAGCCAGACGTCACGGTTTTACCCAGTGGTGAAAGAAGGACGGACGCTAGATGCCAAGGTGAGGCTCTGCTGGCCTGGGTTGCAGTTCCACTTCTTAGGCTTCCAGTGCTTTGCTTCTCTCCCTTGCCTTGTATGAACCAGGGCTGTTCTGAGGGCCCCGTTCGATCTGTGTGCTCAGGCTGAAGGACTCAGGATTGAGTGACCATATCTGTGAAATACACCAGGCCTAGGAGTGGTAGCCTAAGAAGGACTGACCAGGTGGGAGTCCTCAGGCAAATTGCCTACTGTCAGGCTGCCATTTCCTTACCTGTGAAGTAGATGGACCAGTTGCTGGCTCACACCTGAGCATCTTGTGGGAGACTAGATAGGAAAATACTTTTGTCATACTCGAGGTACCGGCCACATAGGAGGGTGTCTCTTCCTGTAAGACACCTTGAAGCTCCTCAGAGTTGTAGGAGTACAGAGATAACAAGACCTGGACTGACCTTTACAGATGCCTCGAAAAAGGAAGACAAGGCACAGCTCAAACCCGCCCTTGGAGAGCCATGTGGGCTGGGTGATGGACTCCCGCGAGCACAGGCCCCGGACTGCATCCATTAGGTACTGCGGCACTGGGGGAGGAGAGCAAGCTACCTGTGGGATGGGGGTCCTGACCATGGATCCACCAGACTGGGACAATTGGTCTGAAGTATCTAAAGCCAAGCAGCCGATAGTATGGAAAGCTTAGCCCCGGGCCTGGGAAGGGGAAGTGTGCTAAAGTAATGTCACATCCACACGACATCTGGTATGCTTAGGCAGTATGTTTGAATTGATTCCCATATCTGGGTATCTGCTGCTTTCCTAAAGTAGAATGGCCAGGTCATTGAATAAAATTACAGGGGTTAAGCCAGGTACAGTCGCACATACCTGAGGCAGGAGAATCTCAGGTTCAAGTTCTATCACTGGGTAACTTAGACCCTGTTTCAAAATCAAATTTAAAAAGGTTTGGGGATATCGCTCAGCGGTAGAGTAACCCGGGGTCCAGTCCACAGTACTAGGGCGAGAAATACAAGAATGGGAGCTCTAAGTCAGTGGTAGACCGTGTGCTTAGCATGCCTGAGGCTGTGGGTTCAGTGCCCCTTAGCAAAATGAAAAGAAATAGAAAACCAACCTGTTATCCCAGCTATTCAGAAGGCTGAGGCAAGAGGGTTGCAAGTTCACAACCCAGCCTGGGCGACTTAACAAGACTAGGGATGTAGCTCAGTAGTGGGGTGGTGGTCTAGCATGCTCCAGGTTCTGGATTCCTTGGCCCCATCCCAGCTCTGTTGAGTCATCTTCTCAGCCTAGGGCCCAAATTCTTTTCTATGTGCTTTCAGTAAAATAACCCCTGTGTTTCTTACCTGTTGTAAGGCAATTTAGAAGCCACTAAAGGCTGAAAATAGCGTTTTGAGAGAAATATAGGTGGATTGATCCATGTGGCTGGCAAAGAATTAAGGTAAATAAGTGGTTGGGTGTTCAGATTGTGGGCATTTGGACAGATCTGTCATTTAATAGCTCCTTGACCCTGGAGGAGTCTCACAGCCTCAGTGACCTTTTCTTGAAACCTTTGAGGGATGATGCCAAAAAGTTCATCAGACTCTTGGATGTGACAGCCCAGCGCAATGTGTCAGGCTGATCTTAGCTCATAGAAGGTATCAAAGGGACCCCTCCTCACTTTATGTAGGCCTGCTGAGGAGAACTCAGTGACTGTCTTTCTCGTCTCTGTAGCTCTAGCCCTTCAGAAGGGACACCTGCTGTTGGCAGCTATGGCTGTACTCCTCAGTCCCTGCCCAAGTTCCAGCATCCTTCCCATGAGCTGCTCAAGGAGAATGGCTTCACACAACATGTCTACCACAAGTATCGGAGGCGCTGCCTTAACGGTAAGAAGTGAAGGAGGGAGCTGAGCCTCTGGGGCCATTACTTGGTCCCAGAGTGTAAGAGCTATAGAGCTACAGGGTAGGGAGCTGGTGACTTTTTCTGGCCTTAGAAGGAAAAGTGACATGACATTATAACAAGAAAGGCTAATGTTGGGTTCAAGGTTCAGGTTAGGTGCTTTTGAAGTACAGGAAGCTAAGCACTTGGAGTATTCCCATTCCTTGATCTTCCTCCATTGATACAGAAAATGACAATTACTTTTGTATCTCTGGCAAGATTCCCAACTGAGCCATTGCCCAGAGGGGCCCACTGTCCATCAGAAAGGAGTATGCAGGGATAGACTGTATTCTGTGGAGCACAGGTGGCCATGTGATGGCTTGTGGTCTGCTTTATGGCTCTGGAGCCAAGAACAGTTTTACATTTAAGGGATGGCAGAGGGAAAAGAGTTGGTGACAGGGACTGTGTTGCCTGCAAAGCCTGAAGTACTTTCTGACCTTTCAGAGCACAGAATTGGCTCACCCCTGCTCTAGAAGACAGTGTAAGCAGTAAACCTGGACAGATGCTCTTGCATATTTTATCACAGAATCAGATGCCTTTTAATTGTAGATATCTGGTAGATTGACTGAAAAGTACAAAACCTGGGTACTATATTCTTGGTTCATCTGCCTCTTGAGAGGGAGAGAGAGAAAGAGAGAGAGAGGATGAATATTAAGTAATAACTCTGTTGGGATATAATTCACATACCATACTTTTCACTTATTTAAAGTACATAATACATTGACTTTTAATATATTCACAGTGGTGCCTCCATCAGCAGAATTAATTATAGGACATTTTTATTACCTCAAAAAGGGATCCTGTACCGCTGCCTGTTGTTCATTTCTTATTCCTTGAACTTTACCCCAAAACACATTCCTCTCAGCACTACACAACTGCCAGTCTCCTTTGTGTCTCTATGGATTTGCCAGTTGTGGGCTTTTCACATGACGGGCGTGATAGTATATGGTGGTCCTTTGTGACTGACCCCTTGCCCTTAGTATATTTCCAGGGCTCATCCAAGTTGTGGCATATATCAGTACTTCATTTCTTTTTCGTGGCTAAATCATATTCCATTTTATGACTAATCACTTCCTGTTTATTCTTCACTTAGCTTGTGTTCAGAGTTTCTGCTTTATGTCTGTTATGAGGAGTGATGCTCTTATGCATTCTCGGGCACACTTTCTCTATGGACTTAGATTTTTGTTTATTTTGGGTGGAGGGTAGCATTGCTGGCTCATTTGGTAGCTGTGGTAACATGGTAACCTTTCAGGGAATTTTGAGACTGCTTTCTATATTGGTATCACCATATTACATTCTTAAAACAGCCTATGAGGATTCGATTTTTCCGTTTCCACCTAATCTTGTTATTGTCTTTTTTTTACACCCATGTTACAGGGTATAAAGTGCTGTTCCTTGTGGTTTTCATATGCATTTCCCTGGGCACTAATGACATTGACGGATTTTTTATATGATCATTGCCATTTATATGTCTTCTTGGAGAAAAGCCTATTCCCATTTTTTAAAGCTGGATTATTTATCCTGTTACTAAATCTGGGAGTTCTTTATGTACTCTAGATGTCTGTGATCTGCAAATGTTTTCTCCTACCCTGGGGGTCATCTTTTCACTGGGGATTACCCTAAGGCCTTTGCACTGAGCTACGTCCTCAGTCCTTTTATTTTGAGACAGGCTTGCTAAGTTGCCAGGCTGGACTTGAGCTTGTGATCCTCCTGCCTCAGCTTCCTAGAGTCATGAGATTACAGGCATGCGCCACTGTACCTGGCTTTTCTTTTTGCATTTTTAATGCTTGGGTGTTTGTTTGTTTGTATGATATCTTCTTGTCTGTCTCTACTAATTTTGTTGCTTGTACTCTTGGTGTTGTATGATTTCTTGATGTTATCATTTTGTACTTGTTAATTGAGGAAGTGAGCAGAATGCAGTTAGAGAAGTCACAGATAATCTGTTCATGTTTTGCCTTGTTCTGCCTTCACTTGAAAGTGATACCAGTTGCGATGAAGAGCTAGGCGGATGGCCCAGTTCAGATGCTGATGCCCCCATTTGGGGTAGTAACCAGCAGCAGGGCTTGGCACAGAATGGTTAGTGCTCAGTGGATATCTGCTGGGTCCAAGAGAAAGGACGCCATTCTTAGGTCCCAGGATCCTTTGTTCCTGAGCAAAAGCGGCCCGACTCTCACACTGGCTTCCTTCCTTCCCCGTCAGAGCGGAAGCGCTTGGGCATTGGCCAGTCTCAGGAGATGAACACTCTGTTCCGCTTCTGGTCCTTCTTCCTCCGAGATCACTTCAACAAGAAGATGTATGAGGAGTTCAAGCAGCTGGCTTTGGAGGATGCCAAAGAAGGCTACAGGTGAGCAGGCTTGGGCCAGGGCTCTGGCTAGTGCTTGGGGTCTGGTGAGGGTCCCCATTGAGTCTCATTCCAGAACTGTGGTTGGAAATGCCTTGCGTGTGTATGTCTTATTTTCAAACGAATACTGGAATGAATTGACATGGTTCAAATTTCAAAGAGTTTAAAAGGTCATGTAGTAAGAAGTCTCCTTCTCAGCCATATCCCGCTGTGTCACTTCTTTCTTCAGACGCAACCAGTAGCGTTAAAATCCTAGCGGTCCTCTCTGTATAAGCAGGTAGTCGTCTGCTTCCTCTCCCACACCACTGCGATCCCTTTTTTGTTTGTACCAAAGATGGCCTTCTACATTATATATAGTATTTTTTTGTTTTTGTCCTTTACAGTTCTTAATACTTTATCTTAGAAATCATTCCATATTTGAACTGTAGCATGATCTTAGAGTATTTGGATATACTGCAATTTATTTAACCCATCTCCTATTACGGAAACGTAGATCATTTACAGTATTTTGCTATATACAAAACCCTTTTTTTAAAACTTACTTTCCTGCTGCCGTAAATGCGTTCCCTGTAAGTAATTTGAGTGTTTGAGAAAGGTAGGGAAGTATCCTTCAGTCCAGAAACAGCAAGGAGTAATGTGCCACCATCAGGGTTGTCCCGTGAGTGTCCTTTTGACTCTTATTTTTATTTATCATTTATCAGCGTGAGCATTTTTCCATGTTGTTAAAATGCTGAACTTCTTTTCCTTCTTAACAGAAGCAGTTAGATGCTTCTTGTAGAAAGTTTAGAAAAACAGATAAGAAAGATCTCGTATTCAACTTCCAAAGATAACCAGTATGAGTATTTTTTATGTTTGTGCCCTCTGGGCTTGGCATTCATGCATAGATGTAAAGTTGATGTATTTATAAAAACAGGGTTGTTCAGCATGATGCTTTGATACTTTTTTTTCCACTTGATAATATATACATTATAAACATTTTTAAGTATCTGTTGATATATATTTACAATATAATTTTTAACAACTTATATTCCATTTTGTGGATTTACCATGGTGTTCTTGGTACTGGCGATCGAACTCCAGGACCTTGCGCTTGTGAGGCAGGCACGGTGCCACTGAGCTAAATCCCCAGTCCCTACCATGGTTTTTCTTAAATGCTTCTCTTTTAGAATTTGTTCAGTAATGCTGCTGTGAATATTTTATACTTTGATAAAATCCAAATCCATAGTTTTTGGCCATTTCCTTGGCACAAATTTCCTAGAAGTGAAGTTTCTGACTCAAATAATTGGACAAACCTACTAATTGGCATGGTTGAATGGCTTTGCAGAGAGCTTGTACCAGAGGTTGACAGTTTTTCTCAATGAGCACAGATAAGCCAGGCATGGTGGGACATACTCCTAACACTTTGGGAGGCTGAGGAGGGCATCACAAGTTTGAGCCCCATCTGGACAAACTTGGCATGACCCTGTACCTAAGAAAAGCACAGATAGTAAATATTTTAGGATTAGTGGGCTGTAAGGTCTCTGTCCAGCTACCAGCTCTGCTCTTATTGCAGAAAGCAGCCAGGGACACTGTGCAAAGGGATAGTAGTGAAGAAATGGGGGTGGGGAGGGGTGAATGAAGTTTGCTGACTCCTGGTAAACTGAATATTTGATGCTGGACCCACTTAGACTAGCCTTAAATATTAGCCTTCAAGGATATTTGCCTTTTTTTCAATAGAAGAAGAGCTCATTCTTTTAAACTCTCATAGTTCCTCTGCTGTCATACATAGGTACATTTCCCCATTTTACAGATGAAGACACTGCCCTGACTTCTCTGATTTATCTTCCCACAGGTATGGTTTGGAGTGCCTTTTTCGATACTATAGTTATGGTCTGGAAAAGAAGTTCCGGCTGGACATATTCAAGGATTTCCAGGAGGAAACTGTGAAGGATTATGAAGCTGGTAAGAGAGTTGGCTCTCCTCCACATGCCCTGATCCTCTAGGCCTTCTTCCTGTCTCCTCAGTTCACCTAGGTCTTTCTCTGTTGTATCACACCACCCTCCCCTGTAGCCTCTTTATCTTCATTTCTCATTTCTCGTCTGTCTAGTTTCTCTGTACCTTTCTCTCCTCTTCTTTCCTTATAGGCCAGCTCTATGGGTTGGAGAAGTTCTGGGCCTTCTTGAAATATTCCAAAGCCAAAAATTTGGACATTGACCCCAAACTACAAGAATACCTCGGCAAATTCCGACGTCTAGAAGACTTCCGAGTAGATGTGAGTGAAAAAATCTCTTCTTTCAACTCCTGTTTGTGCTGCAAATTGTTCCAGGAATCAGGGTGTATAGGTCTTGTCCCAGCTCTGCCTAGACTAGCCCAGGGAACCCCCAAGTTTGGGTTTTCTATTCCGTTTCCCAATCTGTAAAATGAAGGTAAGGATAGACAGGGGATGCCAAGTGGAGAGTTGTGTGTTTGCTCCAGTCTCCTTATTGTGAATATTGCTAAGTCATCTTAAGGTTCTTTCCTTTACCTCTTACAACCCTCCTTGCTCCTGTGCCCAAGTTCACCACTAAGAGTCAAAAATAGGATCTCCATAAGTACTGTTTGTGTCAGGATTGGCCACCCATGATAAATGTGTTTGCCCTTTCTGAGAAAGATCAGTTTCCAATCTAGAAGTTTATAAGTTGATGTCCAGTGCTTCTCTGTTTTCTGGATCAGTGCCTCAGCAGTGACATCCAGTGGTGGGTCTCGGTTATTGCTAGTGTGCTATCAAGGGAAGAGGTTGGAGTTCTGTTCAGCAGATTTTGATTGGCTATCTCTGTGCAAGCGCTTCAGGGACTCCGGAGATGAGGGAAAGACTGGAAGAGTTTGTGATGGCAGGGGGTGTGGCTCAATAGTGAAGTGTGCACTAAAACTGCCGCTGAGTATTGACTATGTAATAGGCACTCTGTGTACACTGACCTCTGAACCTGTGGTGAGGTGGGCGGGGCTTACTGCTGTCTTCACAGGTGGGTAAACTAAGGCCCTTGACCACCCCAGGACATGGTGTCAGCACTGCTCAGCTCTCCCAGTGTAAAGAGAACCCTTAATGGCTCATAACTTTGGTACCCAAAAAAGGAAGAAGTGTTCTCAAGGTTACAGAACTTGGTAATGGTGGGGCCAGACTGGATCATGATCTGATTCTCATTACATTGGCCTGTTTAGGGGCCTGGAAGGGATTGAGGTGGTCCCCAGGAGCATTTGCCCTTCTGAGCTCAGACAGCATGCTTCGCGCCACATTTCACACATTGTTTCCTAGGTGGGAGATCCCTTCTCAGATGGGAGCAGAAATCTGTGTGGATAAAAGGCTGGTCTTCAGGAATAAGTGGACCTAAATTTTGTCTTTGCGACTTCCCACCTATGAGATCCTGGGCAAATCACATTTCTATGTCAGTTTCCTAATCTGTAAAATTGGTAATGACGTCCTCGTTCAAGGATGGTGTGGGACTCATGAGAGAATATGCATAAATTAGCACAGTGCTAGGTGTAGAGAAATGCTTACCAGCTGAGAATTTATGTTGAAGATCAGACCCCTTCATTATCTGCATTTGGAGGTAGAATGTCGTCTGTAGACAGCCTGGTAAGAAGTTTCGGATAGTGCCCTGTAGTCTACCTGTGACTCTCTCCTCTTTTGTAGCCCCCCATGGGTGAGGAGGGCAACCACAAACGACATCCAGTGGTAGCAGGTGGTGCCAGTGGTGAGGGCAGGAAGCGGTGCCCCTCCCAGTCTTCCAGCAGGCCTGCCGCCGTGGTCAGCCAGCCCACTACATCACCGACTGGCCAGCCCATCCAGGAAGATGCTAAATGGACAAGCCAGCGCTCAGACACACAAACTTTGGGAAAGTGAAAAGCCCTTAGCCCCTGGGGTTTGGGGGAAGGGGTGGGGTGGGTAAGGGTCCATGGGGGTGCCCGGTCCCAAGAGAGGGGACAGAGAAGGGCCAGGCCTGGAGTTGACAGGATGGGCCTCTGTGCTGAGCAGCAGTGTACACACCATTTGGGCTGTTAGAGGTACCCTGGGCAGGAGCTCCACATCCCCTTCCCTCCTCTCTCCGCGACTTTTCCATCCTGGCTTCTTCTACGGGGGGAGGGAAAGGGGGGAGATTTTTTATATATATATATATATATATATATATATATACACACACACATACATACATATATATATATCAAGTTTTAAATTATTGATAGTTTGTCTGGATTACCAAAATCACTCTTCAGCCCTGCCCACGGCTAGTAGGCCGCAGCCCTGGTCCTCACCCACAGCCCCTTCCTCCTGCTCCCCCTGAAGCCAACTATGCAGCCCACCAGCAGGCCCTGGGCCCGGTGGAAGGCGGGCAGTGCCCTGGGCCCCGGGAGCAGCAGCCCCTTGACCACCTGGGCTTGGCCATCGCCGCCCCCCCCCCATGCCCTTCTGCCACCTTCTGGGGGAAGGAAACCAAAGGATTCTCCCCACTCCCTCTTCCCACTTCCCTTGCTCCCCAGCCCAGAGAAACGCTGCTCAGACCAGAAAAGACTATTGAAAGATGATTTATTTTATTTTTCTCTGACCTTTCCATCCTTGGGAAAATTTTTTAAAAAGTTAAAAAAAAAAAAGACAAAATTGACCATTAAAAAAAAAACCAAAAAAAAAAAAAAATCAGAAAAGCCCTTCCTGATCATAGAAAGTGATGTCTTTCCCCTCTCCTTAGAATTTTTTTGTTTTGTTCTTGGAAATAATATTTTTTTAAAAGTTGCCTTATTGTGTGGTGGGAATGTGAAATAACACCCAAACGCCTGTTTCCTCGGGGAGCGGACCCGAAGAGCCCCACCTTCTCTGGATGTGCCTGGCGTGGGCTGGCTAGATCCTTCCTCTGGACCGAGTTGCATGTGCAGCGCCTCCTGCCTGGAGGCGAGAGAGTCGGGGCGACTCGCTTCTGAGCTGTGCCCAGATATCCCTGCTGCTGCATCGTTGGAAGCTGATGTCCATCCATGTCTGCGTCCTGCTGCCAGTGTCATGTCCTCACTCTGCTTGCTGTTGCCTCACGCCAGGCCCCATCCTGCTGTGATGCCCTTCATCCTGCTCTCAGAACCCCAAGGGCAAGTTTGCTTCAGACTGCTGGAAACCAGAGCTGGCCTGGATCTGGAACGCGCTTGTCCTCGGCCTGAGCATCTTCCGTGCTAGAGGGGACAGCTGAACAGCTGGCAGCTGAGGCCTGACTGCATTTCTCGTGATCTCCTGAAAGATCTCTGAGACCTCAAGGAGGCTTTGTCTCATAAAAGATGACAAATGTGTCACTGTCCTCCATTGGTCTGGTGGGCTCTCCCCATCTTGCATCCCCCTCTGCAAACCATCTCTACCTGCCCTCTAATTGACTCTGCCTGGGGACGAGGGATGAGGAGGAACTGGGGGCGGGGAGGAATCCTGCCGATGGGTGAAGCCCTGTGGCAGGAAGGTATATGTGGACATAGAGTATACCTGACTTCTCTTCTCCGGCCACTGACTGCCTGAGTTGGGCTGTGAATGACAGTGGAATGGCTGGAGTCTCCTGTCGTCAGAAGCTAGGGAGGGTGATGAAGGACTGACCCATACAGACTGGGACATGTGTTTGGTATGGGTGTGACTGCACATTCGCCTCCAGTGGGGAAGTTTGTGGTCTTGCTGCTCAGTTATTGCAGTGTCTTTGAGCCTCCTGTTGAGTGGCTTCCTCTGCTGGCCAAGAGGCCGGGAGTAGGAGGCAGTGTCCCAGGCTGACAGGGCTTGCCCCCGTCTCGGGTGCCTCATTGCTTTGGCCTTGCCCTCCCAGTGTTTAGTACGTGGGAAGCCTGTCTCTGTTCCTGTGACCCAGTCGTCTCAGACCAAGGAGGAGTGTCCGGTTTCTGCTGTGAAGGGGGCATTTGATGCCTTTCCCTGACGGGTCTGGTCGGTGCCTGCCTCACATGGTATCAGACCCTGGACTCCTATACCCCCTTTTCCTGCCCTTCACTTCTTGCTTTGCTTCAAGTCACTCAGTCCCATACTGTATCTAGCACCTCAGTAACCTCAGCGTTTGGCCTCCGCTGGGCTTGGGGGCACAGGGAATCCATGGAGGTGGGGGAAAGGCTGTTCTCATCTAGTTTACTCCTAGGCCCGGGCTGCTCTCCTCTCCCTGCTCTTGGACAGCCCCGAAGGGGAAGCCCCTTCAGGGTAGGAAGGTGAGGGTTTCATCTCAACCTAGGCTGAGGAGGGAGGGGGGCTTTTTTCTTTTTATTTTTTTGTAACATGTTAGGAGTTAATGTTGCAAAGAGTAGTTTACATCCTCACTTTCTGAAGACACTTGAATTTAGGACCGATGTATCTGTGACAAGCATGCCAGGAGTGGCAGGGCCATCGGGGCTAGCCACTTCACACCCGCTATCCATCTTCCTGTGGGCAATCAGACCTGAGACACAAAGAAGCAGCCTGCCCGAACCCCTGTGCACCCTCCACCCTTCCCAGGCTGGGCGGCGCCAGCGCGACCCTTGGGCGTCACACACAAGGGCTGGCTCAGCTCTCATAAAGGGCGGGATCTTGCCTGTCCTCTGCTGCGCCTGGGAGCAGATGCACTACCAGTAGAGGAAGCCTCCCAACCCTGCCCCAGCCTGGACCCCTGGGGCTCAGAGGCGCTGAGCCTCCCTCAAAGTCGTTCAATGTTTCTGTTTCGTTCCACTGTAGCTTCCCCCTTTCCTGATGATTGATGTACAGAAGAGAAAGTAAGCTGCTCAGAAGGCCCTGAAGTGGAGAGGAGGGGCAAGAAGATGAGTAGTTAGGATGGGTGAGGTTTTGCCAAAAGCTTGGGTAGAGTGATCTGCGTTATCTGGCACCCTCTTGAATGGGAACCCCGAAGTATCTCTTGTGGGAAGGGGCCCTAGATTCTCCCGCACCCCACTCTTCCTCCTTCAGCTGTGTTGATGGCAGAGGCAGAGAAGACAGAACTTACAGCCCGTTTCTCACTGGAGAGGAAAACTCGTCGTCTGGCTTTGCGGAGAAGGCGCCACCTTACACTCGTAGTACATTATCTCTACCATGTGCTAGGATATCACACTTAAAAGGACAAAAAAATGTAAAATACTTGAATGAGCTTGTATTATAACATTAATATTATTGAGAGTATCTGCTTCCCAGGCTGAAGTGATTCATTCATTATTCTAGTCCTGCTTTAGTCCTTTGTAATTTGTGGTAATTATGCTTTTCTTTTTAATACAAAAAAATGTATAAAAATAAAAATATGAAAAGGCAAATACTGACTGGTCTTCCTTCTCTTTGGGGCCCTTCTGTTGGGTGAGATAGATGGACCCAGTTGGGGCCCCTAGAGCCAGAGGAAGCTCCTGCTCTGCTGGAGCAGATGAAATCTCAGTCGAGGTGCTGCCTGGAGCTGTGGGAAGTCTCCCTGAGGCAGGGGCTCCTTGGGGCTCCTACCACATCTGCCTCCACAGGAGTCTTAAGATCTTGAATTCATATTCACCTTTTCTGTCTTCTCTATTTGTTTTTTGGTAATGGGGATCGAACTCAGGACCTTGCACTTGTGAGGCAGGTGGCAGAACCACTGAGCTAAATCCCCGGCCCTACCTATTTTATCTTAAGCAGAACATAGGAACCATAGCCAGTGCCACAGAAGTGAGCGTTACAGTCCCAGCAGATGGAATTTCAGGCTTTTAGCCCACTTCCTGGCTCCCAGACTTTCCACATTGTAATAGCCAAGAAGACAAAAGTTGATGTGATTCCTTATGGAAGGAGGTACCGCCCCTCTCTGGACACTTCTCTGTGGGAATATGAAGGAGTAACAGCTAAGTAATGTGTGACCTTCATGAATCCAGGTCAGCCACTGAACCCTGAGACATGACACTAGGGAGGGGTGGAACAGGAGCCCCCCACTCACATATAATTACATTACACATGAGGCCTGGCCTTACTGGTTCATCTGACAGCTGTCGTCTCCCATACCTGGCACTTCCTAGGAGATGGTTTTCTAGTGAGTTCTACCACTGTCCAGGTGGGTAGGTCTTTCAGTGCCACCAATGGCCTCCATAGGCTAAAGAAAAGCATTCAGACGTGTTCAGGGCTTCTGCAGATTTATTGGTACTTTGGGGACAGGAAGATGAATTAATCCAACCTCACTGCCACACATTCCTGTTAGGGATGGTTATGCAAGAGGCTGCTGACTACTTGTACTGCCTTAGCTTTTAGTGTCGTGATCATGAGTCAGAACAAGTCCTGCAGTGGACAGAAAACTGAAGTACTATAAAGCCTTGGATTGTGAGTAACTTGTTCTGCAAGAGTTCCACAAGACTAGCGAACATTTCTAATAAATTTTAACCTGATAAATGAGCAATGACTTGGAATACAAGTAGGTGACGCCAAACACGTGATCACAGCTGAGCCAGGGATCCCCCTGCTACCCTTTCCTCTCTGTCTCCATTGCTTCGGGATTGTGGGTGATCATCTCCCAACAGCAAGAGGTTGTGGAGGTCTCATCTGCAGAGGAGGAGGAGGAATCCCTCGCTTCAAATGCGATTAGGGAGATGTGGAAAAACTACAGAATTTTGTAGAAAGGCACCAGCTGAATAAGGCTGAGATGAATCTGTTTAATGACTGCACCGTCACATTTCTGTGAAATCCTCAAAAGGAGGCAAAAGTGTGTCATTGGATAGGTTCCTTGTTACAGTTTCAGGAAAAGAAAAAGATTCCATTGAGCCAACAGATAGTAGTGATTGTTAGTGACGGTGAAAGTTGTCACACAGTAACTCTCCTCTCATCCCCCTCACACCAGCAACGAAGGGTTTCAGAGGTAAATGCAGGTTAATTTATTTTTCCTTATAGTTTGTCTTGTCTATTATTTTGTAGTATATTGCAGTATTACTTTATATGGATATTTGTGGGTTGTGAAATGAGTCATCTGAGTTTTTTCATTATTTCTTAGGGGGGAATTGCTTTGGTATGCAAGTGCTCTGGATTACAAACGTTTCCAGAAGGAATTATGCTTGCAAAAGGTTTTACTGTATGTACTAAAATAAATGGAGATTAGTTTATTCTGCTGGGAATTTGGGGCCATTCTGTTTGATGCAGAAACGATAGAGCTAAACTCCTCTATTAAGGACCGACCAACCAACCACCTGTGTGCCAGAAGGAACCCGAGAATTGAGTCTCTTGTCCCTGTAGGCCCCTTACAGCGCCTCAAAATCTAACGACCTTATAGAGGGGAAAAATGCATGGCTTTTTCTCCTTCCTCTTTACACACTCTCTTCTCATCCCCTACCCTTCTTAAATATACTGAAGATTGACTCTTTTTTCCAGATGCTTCTTTGAAGGAACAGGTGCTGGGTACCGGCCAACAGCAGTGAGAACTTGGAGCTTTGATGGACTTCAACCCAAGACTGTAAGCTATCCTAGGCCGGGACCTGAGTCCACCAAGGTCAGGTGGGTGGGCAGGGTGGTAGAAGGCCAGGGGACATGCTGCCCATGAAGTGTTGAGTGGCTCACCCCAGAAGGCTTCTGAGCTCCGGGTGCTGATGGGAAAGAAGTCCTTCCTGACAGTTCTGCCTAGAGCAGAGGTGGCAAGCCTACAGCATGTGTGCTGCAGTGGGCTGTTTGTATTATTGAAAGCTCTAGGTTTGCGCCATCGCTGGCCTAGAGGTTTGGCCCTATCAGATATTAAAGTTTTGGTGTGTGTTTAAGAAATAGAGCCTTAGGCTCTGTTGCCCAGGCTGGCCCCAAATAGGGCTCGAGCAATCCTCCTACTCAAGCCTCCTGAGTGCCTGGATTACAGGCTTGTGACAAAATATAAAAATACTTCATAAAGGGGGCCGGGGATTTAGCTCAGTGGTTCCACCGCCTGCCTCGCAAGCGAAAGGTACCAAGTTCGATCCCCGGTACCAAAAAAAAAAACAAAACTATTGGGCTGGGGATTTAGCTCAGTGGTTCCACTGCCTGTCTCACAAGCGGAGGGACCTGAGTTTGATCCCCAGTACCAAAAAAAAAGAACTGAGACCTTTAATTATTGGCCAAGGTGCCCTGGCTGTGGCCAGAGGAAGGGGTAAGCAAAGTTTTTGAGGACACAGAAGCAAAGTGGTACCTAGCTCCCCCACTCTGGCACCAGAAGCCACTTCCCCTGGAGTCCACGGAGCCTCCTGTGCCACTGCCATCTCTATCCTCTGCATCTTCCTTAGTCACAGGGAGTCGCCAGCAGAGGATGTGGGGGACTGGGCAGTACCTCGCTCAAAGCGGTTTCTCCTCCCTCTGGTGGACCTCCAACCTTGGGAGCTTTCTATATTCAAGCTCATTTCTGGTCCCAGCAGTAGTTTAGGAGAGCCCTGGCTCTATCCTTGGCCCTCCTTTTCTAGAAAGCTGGCCTGCTCTCTACCCTAATGTTGCCATCAAGAGTATATGGCTAAAGGGGGCAAATTGTTAGGTGCACTCATGAGGCCTCAGGCCACCTTAGAATCTTGGGACAGCCAGGATGTACAAGGGCCCTCTCACTCCATCTTCTTTGGGGAGTCGGGGATGCTCTCTGACAGTGGGGTGAAGCCCAGCAGGAGGACGTGTCTCTCATAGGCCTTGGTCTGCTTAAACACAGAATCAGTCCCGTGGAGGTGGTCCAGCACCCCCAGCACTCCATAGCACTGGTTGAACCTGGAAGAGAGACGAGAGCACTGTACTGCTGATGCGGGAGGCCCGTGGCTAGATCTCCATTTCATCTGGTCCTACCTCACTTATTCCTCATCCTCTTGCCCCACACCTGTCTCCTGACCACCTATACCAGAACGACCTGGGGAATTCTTACAAATGCACCTTCCTGGGGCCACTCCAGACCTTCGAAGTCTGGAGTCTTCTTCCTTTGGGAAGCTCTCTATGTGATTTGAGAAGAACCCTGGCAACATTAGGTTTGTGCAGTATGGTTCAAGGACTCTTTGCATGCAGGTTTCTAGGTTCTGCTGTGGTGGATACTTTGATCCAGTGTATTTGGAGTGTTAACCAAGAGCCCACATCTTAAATAAGCATTCCAGGTGACTGGTATAGGAATTCAAAGAACATGCTTGAAAAAGCCTGGAGGATTTCATACAGCCCATCTGCCCTCGAATTGCCTGGCAGATATTTTGCACATAGGCATTTTTCTGAAGAGAGCATCCACAGTTTACATCAGATACTCAAAAGAGGCAAGCATCCAGATAAAGCTCAAGAACCCCACTTGCCCGAGGGAGGCCCCAGTGTCAGAATGAAGGAAGAGATCAAGGTGGTCCCAGTAAGGTCATGGTTTTCTCCGCCTGTAGACACCTTCCTCCACTTTGACAGTGAGACACCAGTGTCTGCTATCAGAAGCTCGGCGGTGAGGGTGGTGGTGAGTACCTAGGACCACTGCGGGGAGGAGAGCCTTACTTGAGATGGTGGTAGTCGTGGAATTCAGGGGAGGGCAGGAAGGGCAGGTGGTAGCCACAGTGGGAGATGGAGGTGATGATGAGGGCCAAGGAGAACCACACAGTGATGGAGGACAGATGAGCGCCCATCACTAAGGGGCCCACTGTTGCTGGCAGCATGTTGGAGGCCTGCGAGAGGAAGAAGGACTGAAGGCGGCGCCAAAGGGGAGAGGGGACCCAGGTCGGTGTCCACTCTGTCCAGAGTGGTGCCCAAGAAAGGCTTCCTTGGTTTGCTGGAGCCGGTTACTTACTCTGTAGCTCGGGGCAAGGTGTTAACTGAGCCTCAGCTTCCGTTAGCAAAATCGGGCTCAGTGAGGTTACTGAGAGAGCTGTACTCACCACGTGCTCTACGGGGTGGGCGTAGAGCGAGATCACACCAATGGGTGCTGTCCACTCGTGGTGTTTCTTATGGATTTGCTTGTAGAATGCTGGGCGGTGAAGGAGCCTGGAGAAATGCTAGTTAATAATCTGCCGACTTTGCTGCCCCTTTTTCTCCACCCTGGCCAGACCCTAACAAGCTGAAGGGAGCTAGAGGTTACGTCTGTGGGGCAGAGTTGGAAACTGCACTAGTACTCAGACCACCCTTTGTGCTGTGCACGTTGTGGGCAGGTTATCCTTCCTCTCTGCCCCAGTTGTGTGAGCTGGGAAATGGGGCTGATTCCAGAAAGTGTTCATTCGGTGTAGGAAATGAATGGGAAACTGCCATCCACAGAAATGGAGCTGCCCATTCTTTTCTAAGCATCCCTCAGTTGTCTTCAGTTTTCAGTTATAGGACAAATAGCTGTCTGCCCATTAACCATTTAATGGGGACTTGAGAACCAGAAGGTGTTGATCCTATGCCTACAGTTCAGAGGCCTCATTCCCCTTGTTGGTCAGTGGGCCACAGGTAGAATGAGTAGCCAGCTGTGCTCAGGCAGGGCCCCTGCTCACCGGTGTGAATAGTAGAACAAGACTTCCTCAATCAGGGTGAAAATCGCCAGCTCCAGGAGGAACCAGTGGAAGGTAGGTAGCTCTCGGCGGCAGGGGTCTCCCCACCACTTGAGGAAGGGATAGAGGAAGACTACCATGGGGAAAGAGATCATGTACTGGTTGAAGAGAACTGTGCGGATGGACTGGCGCAGTTTCACGGAGTCCACCTGACCAAGGGAAGAGGAGGGAGGGAGGCGAGAGTGAGAAGGAGGTCTCACCTGGGTTGGATTCTGAGGGATGTACGCGCCCGGCCGGCAGCTCCTGCCATCAGCCCTGGGATGCGTAATGACTCCGCTCTTGGAAACGGCCCCAGCAGCAGCCTCAGACCATCTCAACCTGCCTTCTTCCTGGTTCTGCCACCGTGACCAGTGTCCTCCCTCTTTCTCTAAGCTGGGCGCCATGTATCCCAGGAGGTAACTTGGGAAGCCCCCAGAGTACTTGGGGAAGGTTGTCAACTCTCAGTTTGGCCTCTCCTTGTCGACAGAGCCTTGTCCATGAAAAATGCAGAGATGAAAGCCGCCTGCCTCCTCCTGTGTCTAGCCTCCCTGAATGGGCCCAGAGCTCAGGAAGGCAAGCCAGGGAGCTGCCTTCCCAGCCGCTCGGCTACTTCTTGGTTGTCAGGGTGGGGCTGTCCCGAAAAGCTAGCCCCAGCGGCCATACCCCCTTCAGCCTCAGAATGCACTCTGACTTCCTCCTTCCGTCTCACGGTGAGGCCAAGTCTGACCGGCCTGGTTTGAGACCACATGGAAGATGATGCCTCTTATACACCTCTTGGAATGTGGCCCAAGAGGAGGGAGGTACCAATAACATCCATTATTCATTTAACTGCAGTTTACTAAGTATTCACTATGTAGCACTCAGTGTTCCTGCTCTTATGGAGTTAATATTCCAGGACTGAAGACAGACCAAGAACAAATATAAAAACGTACGTAGTATATCAGAAGGTGATTGTGTGTTGGGGTAAAAGGAAAAAGTAAAGGAGGAAAAGGGGCACTGGGAGCTCGGGAAAGATGGGAGTCACCGTTTTGAACAGAGTGGTAAGGGTAGACCTCCCTGAGGTGGTAAGATTTGAACCGAGGTGAAGGAGAGAGAGGTAGCCAAATGTGTGTGGAGGAGGAGCCTTCCAGGAAAGAGACCGACTGGTGATAAGTTCTAAGGCACATTCCTGGGCAGCGTGGCTTGCGAGGAGTCGTGAGGCAAGTACAGAGGAGTAGATGAGGTCAGAGCTGGGAGGCGCCGGGTTTGGTGGCTGTTTAAGGACTTTGGCCTCTACTTCAAGAGGAACAGGAAGCAATTGCACAGTTAGGAGCAGAGAAATATGACTGGCTGTAGAGAAGTGATGGTAAAGAACAGGGAGACCAACTAGGACTGCAGTGCAACAGAGATGGTGGTGACGTGTGCCAGCGTGGTGGTGGTGGAGGTGGGAAAGGTATGTGCAGATGCAGCAGGAAGGTTTCCTGACAGATTGGATGTGGAATGTGAGGGAGAGCAAGTAGGCAGGAATGACTAGGGTTTGTGTCTGAGCACCCTCAGTTCAGGTTAGGGAGACTCCAGCCAGTCACAGCCGGGAGGGGTGATCAGAGACGTTCTTTTGGACATGCTGAATTGGAGCTGTCTTAGTGTGCATGTGGAGATGTCAAAGAGGGCCTTGGATATTTGAGCCTGGAACTCAGGAGAGAATTTTGAACTAGAGACACAAATTTGTGAGCTGTCAGCATACAGATGGATTTAGGACCAGGGCCCTGAAGGGATAGATACCTGAGGGAAAGAAACAGAAGAGAAAAGAGGGTCCAAGCCAGAGCCCTGGGCCTTCAACATTAAGAGGATGGGGAGGAGATAACCAGAAAGAAGATTGTGAAGGGGTGATCAGTAGCATAGGGTGAGAGCCATGGAGCTCCTCACAGGGGTCTTAGAAGCTGCATGAAGAAAATAAATCAAGGATGAGGGAATGAGCAACTGTGAAAATGCACTTGATGTTCCATTGAGAAGCCTGACACTGGCTCATCCATAAACTTGCCAAAAGGAATTCTGGCAGAGCCAGAATCTGGAGGGTATGACTTTGGTCTAAAACACGCCCCCCAAAGTCTCGTGTGTGTGTGTGTCTGTGTGTGTGTGTGTGTGTGTGTGTGTCTGTGTATGTGGTGAGGGGGCTGTGGGGCGCTGTACTCATCTGTGGAATGTGCTGTTTGGAGGTGGGGCCTGGCTGGAGCTGGGTCACTGGGAGTCTGACCTGGAAGGGTATATCGCTGACCCCACTCCTCCCTTCTCTCTGCTTCTGGGCTGCAATGGGGTGAACAGATTCTTCTGTCATACTGCTCTGTCACACTGTTTCTGCCTTGGAGCCAGCCACCTTTGGACTGAACCCTCTGTAAACTATAAGCCAAATAAACCTCTCCTCCTCAGAGTTGTGGATGTTGGGTATTTGGTCCCAGTGATGGGAAAATTGACTAAGACAGGGTGACCAGTTGATTAGAGGAGGTTTATAGAAATAGATGAGGCTGGGCGAGATGGTACATCCCTGTCATCCCAGCACTCAGGAGGCTGAGGCAGGAGGATTGCCACACATTCAAGGCCAGCCTGGGCTACATAATGATTTCAAAGCCAGCCTGAACTACAGAGCAAGACCTTGTCTCAAAAAAAGAAAGAAAGAGGGCTGGGCATTTAGCTCAGTGGTTCCAGCACCTGCCTTGCAAGCACAAGGTTCCGAGTTTGATCCCCGGTACCAAAAAAAAAAAAGAGGGGTTGGGGATGTAGCTCAGTGGTGCCCTACCTGCCTGGCAAGCACAAGATCCTGAGTTCAGTTACCAGTACCAAAAAAAGAAAGAAAAGAAAAAGAAATAGTAAGATGATGCATTTGTGCTTTCAGGAGATACAGGGTGAAGGTTTAGGGGTGAAGTTATGTCTTTAACTTAATTTCAAATGGTTAAATAAAACATTCTAGATGCATATATATGTTTATTTTTATATGGATAAAGCAAAAATTGTAATGTGTTTAAAATTGGTGAGTCTGTATTATACGTAAATGAGCGATCATTGTACTATTTGTTCCACATTTCTGTATGTATGTTTAAATTTTTTCTCCCCTCCAGTACCAGGGGTAGAACTCAGGACCTTGTGCTTCTGAGGCAGGCGTGGTGCCACTGAGCTAAGTCCCTGGCCCTTGTTTAAATTTTCTAAAAAAGTATTCTAACAACATATTTACAAGAAAGTAAACAGAGGAATTGAAACTGTACAACTTTTTAAACTTTTTCTTTGCAGTACTAGGGAATGAACCCAGGGCCTTCTCGGTGAACTACATCCCCAGATCCCCGGTCTGTTTTAATACTTTTATTATGTATTTTGAGACTGGGTCTGTCTCAGTTACTTTCTCCCCAACACTCAACAATTTAAGGTTTGTTGTGGCTCACAGTTTGTAGAGATTTCAGTCCATAATTGGCTGGCTTGAAGCCGAGGCAGCATGGCAGAGGAGCGGCGGAGGAGAAGCGGCTCGTGGCAGGACAGTGGGAAGCAGAGAGACGGGGAGGATGGGAGGAGCAGCCAGACCCTTCTAGGCCGCACCTCTAGTGACCACCTCCTCCAGCCTCCCTCGCAGCCTCCCAGGTATGTGCTCGTCAGTGGACTAATCCATGCCCCCATCCAGCCTCCTCCCCAAACCCCCACCTATGAGTACAGGAGGCTTTGGGGGGACATCTAGATATTGAACCATGGCAGGGTCTTCCTGAGTCGCTAAGTTGCCCAAGCTGTGTTCAGATTTGTGATCTTCCTGCTTCAGCCCCCCAGAGTACTGGGATTCTAAATACGCTCCGCAGGCCCAGCTGAGGGGAATGAAAATGTGAATGGTGGTGTGATATAGTGAGTACGGGAAATGAAGTTAAGAGTTTCTTTGGGTTTTTAGTTTGTTTTGCTTTTTTGAGAGAAGATCTCAGTGTGAGGCCCTGGCTGACCTTGAATTCACGGCAAGCCTCTTGCCTCAGCTTCCCGAGTCCTGGGATCACAGGCTCATGCTACCATGCCAGGCCAAAGGTTGTTTTAAAATGGGAAAAATTATAGCATGCTTCCAGAGAGGTGTGTGAAAATACAAGAAAGAGGGAATTGCTGAAATACTTTCCTGGAACAGGCAAGAAGTGGGGGATGCTGTGCAGTTTGGACTGGAAAAGGCCGTTCCCAAAGACAGGGTCAAGAGCACTGCTGTTCACGTGCTCTGCCTTGTGACAAGGGAGCCAGCAGGGGAATGCCCTGAGAGCTGGGGTGAGTCACCCCAGCAGCGGCACCAGGCAGATTGTTAAGGGCGATTGCCTTCCCTGGGAAAGCAGCCAGGAGTGGTTCGGGTGGAACTGAGGACGGAATCCACTCTTCCCTGCTATGTAAGGAAAGGTTTCTGGAAGTTAGTTCCCAGAACACCAGGCAGCAGGCGACCAGGCTGAGGGAGCTCTGGGCTTCACTTCCTGGAGCTGAGCCCACCGGGGCTCCCCCTGAGCAGGCACGGGCTTACTTCTCATGGATTTGCCCCAGCACCTTGCCCCATCTGCTGGGCTGAATAATGAGGACAGCAGCCGCCATCCACACACAGCCCACACAATGGGGTCAGCCACGGTGTGGACAGCAGCAGCGGGTGGCCGTAGCCATTGCTGTCTCTGATCACGCAGATAGATGAAGGGGAGCTACCTAAAATGAACATTTCTCTTCCTAAAATGCTGACCAAGTGCTGTGGACCAACAGATTATCCTGGGTTGGGAATCAGGAGACAAGAATACTGGTCCAGACTGGCTATTAGCTGAATGGCTATGAAAATTTGGGTGAAAGATTCCCTCCTAGATTGAGGGAGCCCTGAGTACAATTCCTGAGCTTGTACTGGCCTTGGTCCCACTGGGCTGAGACTGGCTTTGTGGGCTTTGACTAAAGAAGGTGCAGCAACACTTACAGGCTCATTCTTGCCCAGCTGAATCCGGTAGCGGGAGATGAAGGTTGGTCTTCCCGTCATGTCCACCACAAGTAGGAGCCCATTGAAGGCCCAGAAGAGCAGCCCGGGCACTAGGGCAGCGCCTGAGGTGGGAGGCAGAAGGGAAGTCAGTGGCGTTGGGTCTCACAGCACATGGACTAACTGAACACACACTTACGGCGACTGTGCACTGGAGCGGCCCTTTAGCCCTGGGGGACAGACTAGGTCTGGGAACAAGGACAGTCACTTAAGGATTGTCTGCATTTACCTTCTGAGCTGTAAGGTGGGGACTACAATCTTGAAGGTGGCTAGAGACAGAGTATACTCATGCATAACATAAAGGATACTAACACAAGGTATGATCAAAAATACGGCAAATGTTTACTGCTTTTTAAAACTATTACAGCAAAAGACAAGTTGTCATTAATTGCCCTCAAAATCTCCCCCTCAAGGGCTGGGGATTTAGTTCAGTGGTTCTGCCGCCTGCCTCAAAAGCGCAAGGTCCTGAGTTCGATCCCCGGTACCAAAAAAAAAAAAAAATCCCCCCCCTCACTTATCCCATCCCTCTTGCCGCTTTCTGAAGCAGTTCTGGAAGTCCTCTTTCGTGAGTGTCTTTAGTTGTGCTCCTATGGTTATGGTGATGTCCTGAACCAAATCAAAACCCTTACCTTTCATGGTCGTTTTGACTTTGGAAGAGCCAGAAGTTGCACAGTGCCAGATCTGATGAGTGATGTGGACCACGACACACCGTACGAGCACCCTTAGAGAGTGCCAGCCGGCCTCTGCTGGATGCCACTCGGCAGGCACACTCGCCTACCTGTTCACCGTGTTTTTCTCTCGCCTCATAAAGACACCAAGGAGGCCTCTGGAACGCCTTCAGAAGTCGTGTGGGATGAGTGTGTCCCAAGTGAGGGGGAGGATCACAGGGGATTGACAGCAATGCGTCTCTTCCTCTAATTTTAAAATTTAAACATTTGCCATATGTCTGGGTCATGCCTTGTACTGCAGAGCATACTCTAATGCAGGAATGAATTCAGTCTGTCCACTGAGTCCTTTACGAGTTGTCAGGGAGAAGATACCAAGGAAGAACATGGTCAGGTGGGAACCTCATCCATTCCCCAACTGGGAAGGCAGCAAGCCCTCCGGTTGGGGCCACACCCCAAGGTGGGAAGCCTTTCAGGGGCTGCTGCTGCAGGTTTCCACAGTCTTGGGAGAGCTACGGTCCACACTTGTGCACACAGCTCAGAATTCCCGCAGCAGAGAAACCTGTTTGTGTCAAAATCGACCTTTGTAGGTCCAATGGCGCATGCCTGTCATCCCAGCACTCTGGGAGGCTGAGGCAGGAGGATCACAAGTTTGGGCCCAGCCTGGATTTAGGGACTTGATGAAACCTCACAATAAAAAATAAAAAAGGAGTTGGACTGGGAATGTAGTTGAGTGACAAGACCCTGTGTTCAATCCCCACTACCTTAGGGAAAAAAACCACTTCACCCTCCCTGTTGGACCCTAGAACAGTGTTTTCCCAGAACACCTAACAACAGTAGGACAAAATACGTCCCTGTTTGCCCAGGATGGTTTCAATTTGTATTTGTCATCCCAGCATAATTATTGACATCTCCTTTCACTCTTCACGTGGCAGGTAAATAGATGCACCCACACCACCCTTTAGCCTCCCGTAGCAATGATGTGCTACAGGACACTTTAGAAGAAGATGATCAAGACTTAAAATTTAGTTTTGGCTTTTTGCTCCACATCCGACTTGCAACGAAATCATTTTAAGTATCTCTGCCTCCGCACTGTGAACAAACAGTGCTTTGGCCCTCACAGTTCCTGGTTATTCAAGCCATACTACAGGGTTAGTAACTTCAGAATCGCTAACTAATTGTGCGTGTTTTGGCTCTTCCTCTAGATTCCAAATCCCAAAAGGCATGGGGAGTGCTCAGTTAATTCTGGGTCTCTCCCCCTCCTTCCCCCTTCCTGCTCCCTTGCTGCAGTGGGAGGGGGTGTGTGAGACACTTGGCCAGCACTGTCATCTCCGAGGCAATCGGTGGTCACAGAAGGACATTAAATGTTTCCCTGCTACTTTCCTCACACACATCTGTAATTACCTCGTTCTTTTGGTGATCACCGAAGATGCCATTGAGCCTGTCGTAGTTTAATGTTCAGCCTATTCTCAAGAGTTCCCCCTTCTCACTCAAAACTGTCCCTGGGTGCATTTTATATGAAATTTTGCTTTTGAGCAACTGACACTTTTTATCTCCCCTCCTGGACTGTAACATACGTTTTAATGGGGCAGGCAGATGTTTCATCTTAAATATTTCTCCATCCTTATACAGGTTTAGCATATTGTAATGTTAAAAAATACCATGGAGACCCAGGTGTGGTGGTACACATCTGTAATTCCAGTACTTAAGAGGCTGAGGCAGGAGGATCTCTGAAAGTTCAAGGCCAGCCTGGGCTACATAGTGAGTTCAAGGCCAGTTTGAATTACATAGTGAGACTTTGTCTCAAAAATTTTTTTTAAATGCCAGGGATTTAGCTCAGTGGTTCTGCTGCCTGCCTCACAAGCAGAAGATCCCAAGTTTAATCTCCAGTACCAAAAAAATTGAATAAAAACCCCCATCAAATCTGAGGACCTTCAGTGTTATAGATAATGCAGTTATAAGTATCTGTGTTTACATGGCTTTTTCCTTCCATGACATTTTCTTAGGGTTGTTTGGAGCCATGGTTCTGGCTGTAAATAGAGTGGCCACTTCCCACCAGCCCTGGGAGCTAGTTTATACCAGGCCCAAGGGACACAGTCTCAGGCAAGATAGCTCCCTGCCCTTGCGGAGTAATATGCAGAAGCTAGATGACTGCTGTAAAATGCATGCATTTTTAATGCAAAGCAGCTCTTTTCCTATTCCCTTTGAGAGAGGGGATCCTCAGGCCCTTAGCTTCCTTTTTAGATATCCTGTTTCCAAACTGTTGGAGTTTAGTACTCATTGGTATGACCACGTTGTGAACTTCAAGCCCTTATCCTTTGTAATAATAAACTGAAAAGTCTTGGAACAAAAGTGTAAAACAAGAATGACGCTAAACTAAAGTCACGTACCCCGGCCCTAAATGTGGGTGGTCTGGAACCTCACCTATTATGAAGAGGATCCACTCTTTCTCTTCAAACTTCCACAGCAGCCTCTCCCACTGGGCTTGCCAAAAGTAGCCAGAAGCACCCCAAAATCTCTGAAGATGCCTTAGAAGAAAAGCCATTCAGGTTTCTGGGTGAAAACTAGTGGGCAGGCAGCGTCAAAGCTGTTCCCCGACTGATACCACGCCACCCCTACCAGCTGGGCCAGGCGGACGTACCATGTGACCGAGTTCCAGAAGGCCACGGACAGGAGCAGACCAGAGCCCAGGATGAACGCTGTCTTCCGCATGGAGCCCCAGATGTGTCCCTCCTGGAGCAGGACACGACAGGTCAGACCTGGTGAGCCTCCTCTGTCCACCTATCTCCCTGCCAGGGCCCAGACCTGTCCCTGCACTGTGGGGGGCTCTTCCCCCTCCAGAATGCTTGGCTGTCCAGGACGTGCGTGTGTTTGTGAAAAGTAAAGCTCCACAATAGGGAAGGACCAGAGTTACCCTGATTCCAGAGAAACCGTTGAGCAACTGTATCACTCAGAGGACAGGTGGACCTTCTAACAGCTGTGTGATTTATCACCAGTCCTCTGAGAAAATGGAGATACCCATTCTCTGCACTTTGGAATCAACTTTAAATAAAAAAAAACAAGCCAACACCCAGAGTCCTCTCCAACCCAATTACGCAAGAGTACAGGGCTGGGACCTGAGTCACCATGTTTTTAAAGCTCCCCAGGTAAGTCCCGTGGGCAGGAAGGTCAGGGCACTCATCGTGGAAGCACCTGGAAGAAATCCTTCTAAGCCTTAGGACTTCAGTGTCCATGGGCCAGGCCTGTTTATCCATCCGACTGCCCTCTTGCCTTTGAAGAAAAGTGCATTGAACACCTGCTCTGGCTTTCGGGAATCCCTGTCTTCTACAAGGTGAGCCAGGGCTGCCAGATGGAGGTGATGGCTAGCCATGCTGGGAGTAAGGGGTCAGTGGCCAGCGCCGGGCAGCTCTCCCCCAGTCTCATCTGGAAGGTCCTCCAAGCCGGAGCCATGGCGAGCTCCAAGGCCAGGCAGCATGGTGCAGACTCAGAGCACTGGCTTCTGGACATGATACCAGTCTCCCCTGTACCATGGACAGGAATGGCCAATGTCACACACCGCCTACATTTCTAGGCCCAGATAGGCTGTGCTTGGATTCCTCCGAGGACAGATCTGGAGGCCTTCACTGGGTGTGCTGGGCTCTCGTGCAGTCAGCCAGTGGAGCAAGTCCAACAGAGGGCTGCATTTCAAACCCAACTTTTCACCAACTGAGACAGTGACATTGATTTGATTGCTCCATTCCAAGCAACGTGGTTCTGTACTGGATTGTTTGTTCTCAGCATTATTACATCCCGTTTTTGATCAAAAGAACAACAAAAACATTTTTTGCCTTGGCTAGTGAACTTGTATGGGACTAGTGCTTATCTGGGTGCTGAGCTTTGCAAATGAGCGCTCACAGAGTCCTGTCTGCCTGCCTGGGACAGAGGAAGAATTTGTTCGTTGCCAAGGGCCATTCAGAGGTCACCATGAGCAGACAGGTTACTGTGGGCTCTTCTCATGATTCCAGTTTGAGGATTCTGAGGGCTTTCTTCAGGAACATTTCTGGATTTATTGAGAATTTTTTGTCTTTTGAGTTTCATCAAATCAAAGCCAAATTATAATCTAAATTTTCATATACAGGATTAGATTTTCTCAGGAATGATTTTTTTTTTTTAATCTCTCCAACAGCCCAGATGAAAAAATACAATAACCAGGACAAAGGTTCCTTTGAGACACAGGAACTCACAGTGCCAGGGTTAGCTGAGGTCAAGGGTTGGTTCCTGGTCCCAGACTCCAGCCCCTCGACTGCTCATCCCCGGAGCAGGTGTGGGAAGGTGTGTTCCTACAGCTTAGGACATGGGTATGCTAAGGCAGCAGGCAGGTCAGGCGACAGTAATAAGACAGCTGTGGGGATGTTTACCAACACGCACACACGCACAGACGCACACACACACCCTCCTGCAGGAAAATGACCCCTCCTGAGGTTAGAAGGGAGTTTTCAGTCAGGTGGTCTCTGTTCAGACACTGAAATCAGAGCACCACTGTGTGGCAGCCTCGCTCCAGCCTTGCAGCAGATGACCCTGACTACGTGCTCACCAGCATGGTGGGCACTGCTTTACCTGCTTGGACTTCTCCGGGCACAGCACGGTCCCAGCGTCTCCCTTCATCTGCAGTGAGAAAGCACAGGTGAGTGTGAGTGTGCGTTTGCTTTTCACACGCAGCTGAGGACAGGGATTGGGGAGTCGGGCTGGCTATGGGTTTTTGTCGTTATTTCTGGAACGAAGAAACTGGTTCTAAAATGTAAATGGAGAAATAAGAAAGAAGTAGGTAACGTCAGGAAGAAAGAGGAGAGGGGGAAGGGAAGAGGCGATAAATTCTAGGTCTGTCAACTGTTAAAAACCCAGAGCTTTTAAACAAACATCAAGTTATTCTTTCTTCATTTCTTCCAGTTATTCAAGAGTCATTGCTATAAGAAAAAGAATGGACTTGTTTACCCTGGAGTTAAGAGTAGTTCTAACTCAAGTGGGTCACATTTATTTATTTTATTTATTTATTTATTTATTTATTTATTGGTTGGGTTAAAAAGACAAAGATTTTTCTGAAATTAATCGACTTCTATGAAAGAGTTGTGCATCAACTGTCTTTAAAATGCAGCCTAACAAGAATTAGCCAGAGGGAAATCATTAAAAATGTGTTTAAACCAGGCACACTAGTGCAGCCCTGTAATGACAGCATTCTGGGAGGCTAAGGTGGGAAGATCACAAGTTCAAGCCCAGCCTGGGCATCTCAGGGAGTGTCATGTTTCCAAAAATCAAGGACTGGGCCGGGGATTTAGCTCACTAGTTACACCACCTGCCTCGCAAGTGCAAGGTCCCGAGTTCGATCCCCGGTACCAAAAAACAAAGACTGGGGACGTAGCTCATTTTGAAGCCCCTGGTCAATCCCCAGTACTGAAAAACAAAAAGGTGTTTGAAAAATGTACTTTAAACCACGAAAAGACAAATCTTAATAAAACTGGCATTTAACCCGTGGAGAAAGTAAGATTTGATTTTTTTTTTTATCAGTACTGGAAATTGAACCCAGGCCTTTGTACTGAGCTACATCTGTAGCCTTTTTTATTTTGAGATAGGGTCTCACTAAATCCTTAAGTGGCCCCAGCTGGATTTGAACTTGGGTTCCTCCTGCCCCAGCCTCCCAGAGCTCTGGGATTATGGGCGTGCACCATGACACCCAGGTCACCTGCCATTTCTTGAAGCGGCACCTCCTCTTGATTTGAATGTGGTATTAGGATTGCAGTGCTACACATAGTGTCCTCCATTCACATTTGAACACGCTCTATTTCAGACTGTGTTCAGGTTTGTCCACCAGGGCAGAGATCTGTTTGTCCAGGCACATACTCTTCCATGTGGGGTGCACACACCTGGGTGCCGGCATGGATCTGACTTTGCCCCTTGTCACTGCAGTCCGCACCTGACCTCCCCCGGCGTCCTCCCTCTCAGTTACACAGTGTGCATATGTGTTGGAGATTAAACTCTCCACACTGAGCCACATCCCCAGCTTTTATTACTTTTTGTTTTGAGGCAGTCTCACTAGGTCTCTAAGTTGCCCAGGCTAGCCTTCAACTTGTGATCTGCCTGCCTCAGCCTTCCAGAGTGCTGGGATTACTGGGGTGTGCCCTCATACCCAGCAATATGTACACTTTTTATGTGTGTCAAATAAAAAAGAAATTGCTTGGTTTTATGACATTTTCCATCTTAAGCACATAGTCTTGCAACTTTGATGTGCCCCTCCGAAGGAGCTTTTTAACTGTGGCCTTTTCTGGCCATTTCTCCTTACTGCATTCCTGGCGTTCCTATTAAGGTCTTTTATAACAAACTTCATCTTTCTCCCATTTCCTCTAAATGAAATGGTCCTGTGACTTTTTGTTTTTGTTTTTTCAGTAGTGGGGACTGAACTCAGGGCCTTTGGACTGAGCTACATTGAAAGCTTTTTAAATTTATGTTTTATTTTAAGAGAGTCTAAGTTGCTAAATTGCCCACGTTGGCTCTAACTTGTGATCCTCCTGCCTCGGCCTCCTGGAGTGCTGAGATTACAGGTGTGCGAAACCACGCCTGGCTTGGTGCCATGATTTTTATGGGGATGTGACAGCAGGAACAGGGGCAGAGTTTGGTGAAAAAGTGCTGGGACAGCATTTGCTGTCCTTTGCTGCTTCCTAGACCTTGGTGGGTATCCTACTGCTTGTTTTAGTAGAAAGCTTTAATAAGCATATGGGAAGAGCACTAATCATGAGGGAAATGGGAATCAAACAGCAGTGCAGCATCACTTAGTGCCCATTACAAAGGCTACTGTTGCTTTAAAAAGAGCACAGCCAGCAAAGTGGAGGGAACTCTTGTGCCCCAGTGGTGGACATGCAGTATGATGTGGCCAACGTGGAAAACACTGGCAGTTCTTCAATAAAAACTAAAATACAGCTATCATCTGATCCAGCAGTTTTATTCCTGGCTCAACTCCAAAAGAAGTAAAAGCAGTGTCCTGAGGCAACCTTTGCACACTCGTGTGCATGGGGGCACTGCTCATAATAGCCAAGGGATGGAAGCTATGCGTCCATTGCAGGGTGGCTAAGCACAGTGCGGTCTCTATGTTTGGCGGCACCATTCAGCCTAAAACAGGAAGCAGACCCTACCACGCGCTCTACCGCAGGTGAGCCGTGGACCTTACGTAAAGTGAAATCATTCAGCCACCAAAAGAGGAATACTGCACTGCGCCGCTTCTCTGAGGTGTATCCGGCAGTCAGTCACGTGTAGCATGTGGTTATAGCATGTACAAGTAGCACAGTGGTTGCCAGACCCTGGCCCGGGACGGGAAATGGAAAGCTGTTGTGAATGAAGAGAGTTTCAGTTTTGTCAGGGAAAAAAGTTCTGTGAACATACACTCCTAAGCTTTACGCTGAAAATGATTGAGATGGTGAATTTTATGGTTTTTTTGAAAACCACAATTTGGAGGGGAAAAGAAGCTTTAATAGGGCCGGGGATTTAGCTCAGCGGTTCCACTGCCTGCCTCGAAAGCGCAAGGACCCAAGTTCGATCCCCAGTACCAAGAAAAAAAAAAGGAAGCTTTAATAATTAAAAGTCTGCTTAAAAAAAAAAACTGTGCTAGCACATGAACAGGGGAACATGTAACAGTTTAAAATCCAGAAATAGATCTAAACACTCAAATATATATAAATTTAGCATATAAGAAGGAACCAAGATAAATACAACCGAACAGATGCTAAATCTCCATTATAATAAGAGAAATAAGAATTAAAACTACAATGAAACTGGGTCTGGTGGCACTTGCCTGTAATTCCAGCTACTCAGGAGGCTGAGACAGGAGGATGACAAGTTGCATCTTTCTGGCAACTTAACAACTTAGCAAGACCCGGTCTCAAAATTTAAACAAAGAATTTTAAGGGCTAGGGATAAAAAAAGGAGGGAGGTGGCTAGGGATGTAGCTCAGCATGCTGGGATTATCCCCAGTACCAAAAAAAAATCCTACAGGGCCAGGGATTTAGCTCAGTGGTCCCGCTGCCTGCCTCACAACTGCAAGGTCCTGAGTTCCATCCCTGGTACAAAAAAAATCCTACATTTCATACATTTCAGCGGCTTTCAGTACATGCAGAGTTGTGTGTCCGTCATCACCACTGACTTGAGAACATCTTCACTGCACTACAAAGAACCCCTACTTCTTTGCCGTCAGTCCCCAATCTCTCTGCTCCCCTTCCCACCATCCACCCTGCAGCCCTAGGTCCCCATTTGTCTATTTTTTGTTTCTGTGGATTTGCCTGTTGTGGACATTTCATATAAATTAAATCATACAATATGTGGCCTTTTGTTATTGGCTTCTTGGTATATTTTTAGGGTTATATGTATTATAGCACAGGCCTCTACCCACTTCATTCCTTTTCACTGCTAAATAATGTTACACCACACGGACATACCACATTTTGTTTATCCATTCATCAGAGAGACAGGCGTAGACACATTTTTTTGTTTGGTACTGGGGATCGAACTCGGGTCCTTGCACTTGTGAGGCAGGCGGCGGAACCACTGAGCTAAATCCTCGGCCTGTAGTTTTTTGTGTGAACATATCTTTTTGTTTCTCTTGAATATATGAACATATATATTTATTTATTAGGCATAGGAATGGCATTGCTGAGTCATATGCTAATTATGTTTGACCTTTTTTTTTTTTTTTTTTAAACCCAAGGCCTTTGTACTGAGCTACATCCCCAGCCCTTTTTCATTTTTATTTTGAGACGAAGTCTCACTAAAAGGCCTAAGCTGGCCTTGAAGTTCTGATGCTCCTGCCTGAGCTTCCCAGTCCTGGGATTATAGGCATGTGCCACCAAACCTGACGATATTTAACCTTCTGAGAAACTTAAACTGTTGTACAATGTCTGCATCATTTTATATTCTCACTAGTATTAGGGTTCCAATTTCACCACGTTCTTACCAATATCTGTTATCTGTCTTTTTATTACAGCCAACCAGGAGACAGGGTGTGAAGGTGTTTCTCACTGTGGTTTTGATTTGCATTTTCTTAATGACTAATGATGCTAAACACTTTTTCATGTGCATATTGGCCATTTGTATATCTTCTTTAGAGAAATATCTATTCAAATCTTTTGCCCACTTTAACATTTGATTGTTTGTTTGGTTGCTTGCTTGCTTGCTTTTGAGACAGGGTCTTACTATGTTGTTCAGCCTGGCCTTGAACTCAACTCTTTAGTCCAGGTTGGCCTCAAACTCCTGGCAATCCTCCTGCCTCTGCCTCCAAAATATTGGGATTAAAGGCGTGTGCCACCATGCCCATGTCTTTTAAGTTGCAAGCTTTTCTAGATGCCAGTCTTTTTCCTCATATTGCTAATAGCACCCCCATTCTGTGGGCTGCCTTTTTACTTTCTTGATAGTATCATTTGCAGAATGAAGATTTTAAAACGATTTTTTTTTAGATGTGATCTTACTATGTTGCCAAGGCTGGCCCCAAATTCCTGGGCTTGAGGAATTCTCCTTTATTCTCCCAAGTAGCCAGGACTGTAAGGAACCTGGCACTACACATAGCTAAAAGTATTAATTTTCTTTTGTTTTGTTTTTTGAGACAAGGTCTCGCTATGTAGTTCAGGCTG